TCCAACCAGGGAAAAAAGTCTCCCACTATCTATTCTGTCATGCTCCTTAATAATCTTATAGGTTTCTATAAGATCACCTCTCATTCTTTAATATTCTAGAGAATATAGGCCTAAATTGCTCAATCTATCCTCATAACTCATCCCCCTCATCCCTGGTACCAACCTTGTGAATCTACATTGTAGCCCCTCCAAGGCGAGTACATCCTTTCTTAAATAAGGAGACCAAAACTGCACACAATACTCTAGGTGTGGTCTCACCAGGGCCCTATACAGTCGCACCAAGACTTCCCTACTCTTATATTCTAACCTATTTGTAACAAATGCCAACATACCATTAGCCTTCCTAATTGCTTGCTGTATCTGCAAACTAACCTTTTGTGACTGGTGTACAAGGACCCCTAAGTCCCTTTGAACGCTAACACTATCTCATCTCTCCCCTTCTAAAAAATAATTGCTCTACTGTTTTTGCCACCTCGGTGGATGACCTCGCATTTCCCTACATTATACTTAATCTGCCACCTATTTGCCCACTCACCTAACCTATCTGTATCTCGTTGCATTTTTTAAATGTCATCCTCGGTGTTTATTATTATGATTATGATTATCATTATGCACAATGTAATGTTGTTGAGCAAGATTAATATAAATGAGACGAACAGAGTAATATCAATGGGTTAATCATTTCTGAGCTGTCACCTAAATATCAACAGGCTGTAGTCAATAATGATAGTTTTACATTGAACTTTTAATATCCAATTCCCATTCAAGTTCATTTTGTTTCTGCAATTGTCAGCGGTCACAAATATTGATGACAGCATGTTTTCCTCTAAATTCTTCTTGGGCTTTTGACATCAAACTACATGATCTGGATCAAAATATCTTTAAAATATTGAAGTATGAGTAATGTGTTAAACCTTCCAGAGAAAAGTTATATTTTGTGATATTAAATAAATATTCCAACTGAAGCTGTTCAGTGGATTATTTATGAAGAACTCAGTAGTTTTTCCTTTTTGGTCTTTGCCCAATGCACCTGGGCTGAGAGCTGTGATAGCAATCCTTCTCTCAGGCCTGAGTGATGCTCTATGTTACAAGATGTGCTTCTGAGGAACTATATTACATCTACTCTGTGCTTCCTCATGATACCACAGATGAGATCAGACGCTGGCTTGGACATTAAACATGTGAATGTCATCCTGTCAATCCGTGACATATTGTTGGAGCTACAATGTACTTATTCCTAAATTTGTAAATTGCTAGAATCTTAACATCAGTTAATTGCTAGGTGTTTGAATAACCCTAACTTATGCCAGATAATTAAATAAGAACATAGTATAGACGTAGATACTGAGTAGTGATCTCTGGGTGCGAATCTACTTTTATGGAATCGTATGCAGCTTTCACTGATCCTGCAGTAAATAACTGGTGCATTAGAGTGTATTTGTAAACTTGCTGGTCAGTTATAGAGCTGAAACAGAATTGGCGGAAAGAGTTTCTGATCTGTATGAGACTTCATTGGAATGTGTTGTAGCATCGCTTAGTTACAACATAAATCAAAATACATTATAAGGCACAATGTAACTAACAACAACAACAAAATTACATTTATAGAGCGCCTTTCATGTCAGGAGGACGTCCCAAAGTGCTGAACAGTCAGGTGTCGGGGCCCGAGCATGGGGGAGGGGTGGCGTGGGGTGAGGGAAGGCAGAGAGGTGGGAAGGCGACCAAAGGCAAGATCGGAGAGAAGGGTCTTGAGACCGGCCTTGAAGGAGGCGAGGGAGGAAGCGAGGCGAGGGGACTGTGGGATGGAGTTCCACAGTGTGGAGGCAGAGAGGCTGAAAGCCCGGCCACCGATGGTAGGGCGGGTCGGGCGAGGGACATGGAGCAGATCGGAGCCCTCTGAACGGAGGGAGCGGGCAGGTTGGTAGGGAGTCAGCAGGTCAGAGAGGTAGGAGGGGGCAAGGCCATGGATTGCCTTGAAAGTGAGGACGAGGATCTTGAACTCGATCCTCTGAGGGATGGAGAGCCAGTGGAGTCGGGCGAGGTGGGAGTGATGGGGTCATGGAGCCTGGAAAAAAGTTTTTTTTTAAATGAAGGGTTCATCTTCAGATTGAAACAAAAGATAAGAGTCAGAGTATTGCAACTATTGTTTTTGCTACTTTATGGCTCGGTATAACTGAAGTGCTCCCTGTCTATACAAATAACTGGGAATTGGCCTGTGGGTTTTCAGTTGCCTGGTGTTTACCGTACATTTCAATGCGAGACAACATTGACCTCAAAGTCCTTCATGTATTATTTGATTAAAAGCTACTAATTGCTTGGTTTGAAATTCATTTTGATGAGCAACAATTCTATAGCAGTGAAGCAGTGTGTGGGTGTTCTGTTGGCATTTATTAACATATTGATTAGAAAAGATGTCCAGTTTATGAAGTTTGTCAAAATATCATCTTTTGTTTCGTGGAGTAAAATGTCATTGTAACATTTGTTTTATTTATTTGAAGCAAAACAAAACAAATTAATGGTGTGTCGAGTAAAGTAACGAGTGTGTGTTAATATGTTTGAAACTGAAACATGGCTATCGATTTCAGTGTGAAAAACTTGATTAATTTTTCTCATGGATATCAGATCTAATTAAATGTTCAGAAGAAAAGTGGCAGTTGACATAATTGAGGTATTTATTAATCTTGGTAAATGGGTTGAAAGTGGAAGCTGTTCTGCTTGCCACTGCAGAAAGTGTTTTGCAGTGTTAACTGCATATTTATCTCATATACATCAAACTGGCCTGCAAAACCTCTGCTCCAAAGGCATCTTTGGTCGGAACTGAATTGTCATGGGTGACGTACTGCAGCTTTGGGAAAAGTTGATTTGTTGCAAAGTGCTTTCAAGACTGAGATTGATAGATTTCTTGTGGATAAAGGGATTTAGAGATATGGGGATAAGGTGGGTAGGTGGAGTTAGAATAGATCAGCCTGATCTTATTGAATGGCGGGGCAGGCTGAAGAGGCCGAATGGCCTACTCCTGCTCCTAATTCTTATGTTCTTATGGGACTCCCAACAATAGTGGCACCAAGTAGGCAGACACATGTTTCTGACCATGATTCATAATTTTGATCTTCATCACATGTGGGAGGGGAAAAAATTGAATATTGGAATAATGAGCTCTCCTAATTTGCTCTTGCATAAATCCACTGAATTCAGGCCACAGAGGCCTGGAGTAACATTCATCCATCCACCTGCTGGCAGGAAGGAGTAGAATAAAATGGTTTTAAAAAGGGAGGATATTAAAATATTGCTGAATATTTGGAATATTGCAATAATAATGTGTATTACAAGGAAGATATTTTATCTGCACTAATAATCTTTGACCTTGCTCTCTCTTTTCAGAAGGGTGTACAGCAGATGGACAGGTTAAACAATTTCTTGTTGCTATATTTACATTAAGGATACACATCACCATTGTCTTGCATGTCATTTTGTCACTGCGTTGCTCACTGACATCGCTTCATTACATTGTGCAAAAGTCCAGGATTTTTGCAGAGTTTGAGATCTATCAACGAGCTTGTTGAACGCTGATTGAAAGTGCTCATTTTTAGGAACACTTATGGATGATTTCGAAGTGCTGTGAGTTGAAGCTGTTCCATATAAACTGTGATTTAATTTTAGATTTTACACTAAATGTGCTTGATCAGGATAATACAGAAGTTGAAAACAAATTGCTTTTTTCTCATCTGTATTTTTGTTGGGGATTTGTCCAGCAAGGCTCAGGGTAGAGTAGGGAAAGAGACAGTAGGAAGTCCATTCCCACTAGTGGAGCTGTACAATTATTTCTTCAGCATTTCGTGGCTGCAGCCTGGTATTGTTGCTTGGTGCACAAAGATTGTGACTGAAGTGCAGTGCTTAAATTTGTGGCATATAAAGCATTTGGCCACATAAAGATTTTTGTCGGGTACAGATCTCAGATTTATTGCATAACATTTTAAGTTACCCAAGAGAGATTCAGAACACAAAAACTCTCAAGTGTATGAGGAATACGCTTTGAGGAATGACAAGATAAGATGGGTTCTCAGCCTTGAAAAGAGATGCTTCAGAGGGAACCTTATTGAGCTATATAAAATGATAAATGGGATAGATAAAGTAAACCACGAACAGTGTCTTCAGATGTACTGCATCGCTGGACAATAAGGCACCAGGCAAAATTATAAAAGGTAAATTTGGGAAAGGCATCAGGAAGTATATCTTAACACAGAATAATCAAAATGTGGCTAGAGTTACCAGGAAGAGTGGTATAGATGAAGACATTAGACTTATTTAAAAACAGTTTGATTCTGTAATGGGAAGTGTTGGTTCTGGAGCAATTAGACTTTGTTCATCTGTACCTGTTGACAGTTGTGGCCAATATTTTTGTCCAGTTCATGATGAGTCAGAGATATGACCAGTTGTTGGGAAGTGCAAAGCATAATTTACATGTACTCAAGGCTTTGTTTTCAGCAATGATGTAACATCTACAAGAATCAATACTTTCGCACTGTTGCATGTGATAGTTCTAATATCAATACAATCAAGATTGCCAATAATAATATCTACAATTGGGCTTTTCTTCTATTGGAGTACAAAAGGGCAAGTTTTTCTTCAGAGTTTTTCTTCCTGCTGCGACGTTAAACACTGTAGGTTTAAGGTGTCATTAACATTTTTATTTCTTTCTGAAATACATCCAATCATCACTGAAAGAACCATTGACTGAACAAACCCTTTAACCTCCAGTGATACTGATGAAATCCTATTTTAAATTCATTCCTCTGCCCGTTTTGTATTGTCTCTATGATTGTTGTTGAGACAATGTGAGAAATTTGTGTTTCAAATACATTTGGAAACAGGATATTGTAACAGCATGAACTGCTTTGTGCATTGCATAAGTGCATTGACAACCTGAATATTTTGTCATTTTGTTTTGATTTGTAAATAACTTATTTGTTTTCCACTCACTCTTTTTTGTGAAACACTAGGCTGGGGGAGATGATCCATCAAAACCGCCTTGGTTTAAAGGAGGGTAAGTCATTCCTTTCTTGATCAGAGCAAATAACACAAATAAGTAAAAATGTTTTATCACGTATCAGGGACTAAATAAAAATTTCATTTTGTTGGACTATTTCTGCCTGTATTCTCGCAGAGCAGCGAATCCTTGCTGGATAAAATTCTAGATTTACAAGGAGAAACAATTATGGCCACCTTTTTGAGTTGTATATACTATCCTTCCACTTTCACTTACTAAGAAACTGTTATCGCCCAATTTTAAGCATTAATCTGTCGCTCCACTTTCTATATCCTGTGAAGTGCTTTGAGACGTCTCAATGGCCCATAAGGCACAATATTAAATGCAACCATTATTAATATCAATGGCAGGAATGGCCTAACAACAAATTTATGTTTGAATGCATTGACCGCTGTTATAGTTATGAACAACAGGCATCAGAAATCAAATGCTTTTAATTTTAATTTATTTTATAATTACATGAGAAACAATAAGCATGGAAAACATTTCTTATCTCTTGAATGCTGTGCAACAGGAGAAGCTGTTTTTCTTAAATCCAGACAACTGTGAAGAGTAATTAGGAAAAACAGTGAACTGGTGCTTGACTATAGCAGTGCTTGAGGCCAATTATAGATCTTTCTATAGATTACATTTGTATAGTGCCTTTCACGTCGGGAGGACGTCCCAAGGCGCTGAACAGTCAGGTGTGTGTGGGGGGGGCGGGTTGCAGGGAGAGTGGAGGGCAGAAAGGATAGGAGGGTAGTCAAAGACGCTGTCGAAGACGTGGGTCTTGACGCGTGCCTTGAAGGAGGCACGGTGGGGAGCGAGACGAAGGGAATCTGGGATGGAGTTCCAAAGGGTGGAGGCAGAGAGGCTGAAGGCCTGACCCCCGATAGTGGTGCCAGCTGGCCAGTCGAGGGGTGTGGAGCATGCCACAGCCTGCTGATCAGAGGGAGTGGATAGGTTGATATGGTCTTAGCAGGTTACAGAGGTAGGAGGGGCAAGACCGTGGAGGGCCTTGAAAATAAGGGCTTTGATATGATGTATATATAAAGTGTGTTTGGGGGTGCTTGTCCTGTTTGGTCTATTTCTTATGTGTAATTGTTAGTGCAACATGCATTAACTCTGTTCATTCTCTGTTTTGTGTATTTATTACTATTGTGCAAAATGTTATTGCCAAAAGTGTCATTTATTTTCAGCTAATCTATTTGCAAGGTTGCAGGGTAAAATTTGCGTGTGCACACAATGCACTGGAAGAATGCTGATATCATCCCATTTGCTATGTGTGCATGCTATGTGCAAGAAGCATTGCTGATATCACTTCACAAAAGAAGTGCTTCCTGTGTATATGCAGGGTGCAGTAAATGATGTTAGCAAATCTGAATACTTTTGGTGTTTTTACAGGACTGGAGGTGGGCTGTTTGGTATTGACAGCATGCCAGACCTGCGGAAGAAAAAACCCATTCCACTTGTTAGTGATTTGGTGAGTTTTTTCCAAAATAAATATACTGGTGTTGTAAGAGATCCCATATATACTTGCAACAGTTTTCTTTTAACTCCTGTTGGTAAATCTACCTCGCCCCCTGTTTTGGCTTCTAATTCTTATTCTTGTTGATTGCCAGGTGTGCACATGCAAGTTGTTTCTTAGAGTTTCAAGCTCAAAATACTGCAGGGTCCTAACCTGTCAAACCATTTTGTCTTCAAATCTAAAATCATGGAGAATTATGTAAAATTCTTAAATTCAGACTTGAGTTTGGAAGCCGGTCCTTTGCAAAGTGTATGAAAAAAAACTTCCAAGCTAAGACTGAATCTAGGAATTTTCCATTATTCTAAAATATCTTAACTGTTAAAACACATGGTCTTATAGGCTAAGACTAGGCCTTTGAAGCCTAGTGTTTGAAGCCTAGTCAAGGTTTGAGCAGTTTTTTTCCACTTGCAGTCATCTCAAGCAGAAAACCTCACCTTCAGCAGAATGACCGTTATGTTAAAAGTATCTGCCTGCACCTTGCAATCACTTGTTCCTGGTTTTATTCCTCCACAGATTCCTTAGCACACCTTGTTTCACCTTTCCACCAGTTACACCCTCATCACCTTAATATATTGCTTTTACTAAGTATCAACACAGAATACAAAATGTTAGGTCAGAGCTACAATGTTAGCTACATTCACTTGATTTCTTTTTAAGATTCTTGAGGCTGGAAATATTTACAGTTTAAACATACATTTTCTTTCTATCTTAATGTACATGTGTATTTCTTAATCTGCCTTTCTACATGGATTCCTTTCTTTATAGTGTTGATGTGTTTCCTGTGGTCAATTAGTTACGTGTTGAACTTTCTCCTTTTAGCTTGCTGCGATGTGTTACACAAACTCAAGGAATTTTACAATGTACTGAATGTGTTATACAGGCTTTCTAAATAATTCTTTAGCAATCTGTTATTGATTTAACACTAATGTTGCTTTAATTTAATGTGTTACTGTTTGACAATTGTTTTTAATTAACTTGAAAAGAAGTATTGGCCAGTTACAAAGCATGCACATCGTCTTGATCAGAATAGTGGAATTATCAAAAAAAATTCTAATTCCAGAGAAATAAGTGTCTTTTGGTGTGTTTATAATCATCAAAATAAATGGGAACTTTATGAAAATTTGAGACAAGATTCTAAATGCAATACTATCCAGATTTGCTGATGATTTGTGAGATGATCCGTGCAGCAAGGTGAGATAAACCCAGTTTTTCATATTAGTGACATATCGAGTTTACAATTTCTGGACTGATACTTTCTACTAGATAAACAACATGCTGACATAACTTATGTTTCCAGCTGACTAGTTGATCTCAGCAATAACATATTATAATTCTTTTGTATGCAATCGTTCCTTTTGTGCAGGCCATGGTAAGTGGTGCAACAATATCCCAACTAGACAAAAAACATGTTTTTTTGTCTAATCACCCCTTATTCCACCACTTCCTTGTTTAATCCTAATTTACAGCATGTTCCTGATAGTTTCCTGTGCTGTATCATCAATATTTTTATCTGTTTGTTTTTGACATAATTTAATTCCACCAAACAGTACTAAATTGCTCTGAAACAGGACTGAACCTTATACACAATGCAGAATGTTGTCAATGTTGAATAGGGATACCTCCAATATGTGTCAGGCTATATGCTCTACAAACAAAGCAACATTTTCATCTCTCTTAGCAGTGCCACAAATTTTCCATGTTGTGATTTAAAAAGATCAAGAGAATTCATAAAAAGCCTGCTTCATATGTTACAGGAATTGCAGAAGCATCATCTTGGCAGTGTCAATAACAACACCAGTGGGCAGAAAATCTATACCCCACCTCAGTAGATTTACTAAATTTCTGGATGCTCTAAAATGCTGCAGAGCAAGACAAAATCTTGACCGAGGTGGAATCCTCCCCCACCTCCCGCTGGAGGTTAAATGCTGGAGGAGAAATGCTAAAACATTTCCATTCACATGGACTGATTCTTGACTGAACTTGGGTTCCAAATAGCTTTGATATCATTTCCTGATTATGGCATTTATAGACTGGTCAAAGATGTCCAGCTGCTAATTGCCCTGAATGTTATATTTTATACTTATCAATCAAAATATTAAAATTATTTCCAAGGTAATTTTTTTTGATGTCTTTTCAACTCTCTGATGTCTATAAGGTTCATCCTTCAGAACTGTAGGGAAAAACAACCTTGTTTGGATTGTTTTTGATTTATCCAAAATATAATTTTAGTTAATATTATGAAGATCCACCTGTTTTAAAAGTTACTTTTGCATGTTTATTCACAGCACAATTTATTTTGTCTCTTTTAACTAATTACTTAACATTTTTGGCTTCACATTACAGTCGCTTGTGCAGTCGAGAAAGGCTGGCATTACCTCAGCAATGGCCACTCGAACCTCCCTAAAAGATGAAGAGTTGGTAAGAACAGTAGAATGTCATTAAGTGTTTGTTCTTATGTGTGTTTATCTCCATACTGATCACTTAGATGAGCTTTGTCACTCTTGAAAACATTCGTCAGTGACCTTCCCATTTATTTTAGAAAGAGAATAAGATCAATTTGTTCATCATCCTTTCTTTACTCCTGAAGCTAGGAACCACTTTGATTGCACAACACATAAGAACATAGGACATAAGAAATGCTAGATGCAAAAAGACCAAGGCCCATTTAGTTCGCCTTCCACTTTCCTGGCAGTCGCATGCACATATGTCCCAAACAACCTTTCCAACAGCAAAATATCTTTCCTATGCATAACATAACATTGGAGTCCTGTAGCTCAGTGGTTAGAGCACTCGCTTTGCAAGCTAGAGACCTGAGTTCAATTCCAGGCAGGGCGAAACCTTGGGCAAGTTTCCTTACTCCACACGCCTAATAATAATCCCTCCAAAAAACAAAACAATAATAAATTGGTCATTTTCAATCTACGACTGTTTGTGGGACATTGCTGTGCGCAATTGGCTGCCGCGTTCGCCCACAAATATACAGTCAATTCACTTTACAGTGTGTTCTGTGAAGCGCTTTGGGATGTCCTTCCGACGTGAAAAGCGCTGTATCAAATGCAAGGATTATTATTATTATTATAACATGTAGGAGCAGGAGTAGGCCATTCGGCCCTTCGAGCCTGCCCCGCCATTCAATCATGGCTGATCTTCTAATCTAACTCCAGCTAATAACCTGACCCTGCCTTATCCCCATATCCCTTAATCCCTTTTGCAATAAGAAATCTATCTCAGTCTTGAATATGTTCAAGGACTGAGCATCAACAGCCCTTTGGGGTACTGAATTCCATACATTCACCACTCTTTGAGTGAAGAAGTTCTTCCTCAACTCAGTGCGAAAGGGCTGGCCTCTGATTTTAAGGTTGTGAACCCTGGTTTTAGTTTCTCCAACCAAGGGAAACAATCTCCCACTATCTACTCTATCATGCCCTTTGATGATCTTATAGGTTTCTATAAGATCCCCTCTAATTCTTCTATATTCTAGAGAATATAGGCCCAAACTGGTCAGCCTATCCTCGTAACTCATCCCCTTCATCCCTGGAGACCAAAACTGGACGCAGTATTTCAGGTGTGGTCTCACCAGAGCACTATACAGTTGCAGCAAGACTTCCCTACTCTTATACTCTAATCCTTTCATAATGAATGCTAACATACCGTTCGCTTTCCTAATTGCTGCTGCACCTGCAGACTAACTTTCTGTGATTGGTGTACAAGGACACCCAAGTCCCTCTGGACACTAACACATTCCAATCTCTCCCCTTCTTAAAAAATAACCCACTCTACTGTTTTTGCTACCTAGGTGGATGACTTCGCACTTCCCTACATTATACTTCATCTGCCACCTACCTGCCCAATCACTTAACCTATCTATGTCTCGCTGCATTTTTTTAATATTGTCCTCTGTGTTGGCACTTCCTCCTAGTTTTGTGTCATCCGCGAATTTAGATATATTAGCTTCAATGTCCTCATCTAGATCGTTGATGTAGATGGTAAATAGCTGAGGCCCAAGGACTGATCTTTGTGGCACTCCACTAGTCACATCCCACCAATCTGAAAAGGACCCGTTTATCCCTACTCTTTGTTTCCTACCCGTTAACCATTCCCCAATCCACGTTAATATGCTCCCCCCAATTCCATGGGACCTTATCTTTTGGACTAACCTTTTATGCGGCACCTTATCGAATGCCTCCTGGAAGTCCAAATAGACCACATCCACTGATTCACCCTTATCTAGTTTACTGGAAATATCCTCAAAAAACTCTATGAGATTTGTCAAACATGACTTCCCTTTTGTAAAGCCATGTTGACTTGACCTAATTTTATTGTGCTCCCTTAAATACCGCACTACCAAATCCTTAATCAATGATTCTAAAAATTTTCCTATCACTGATGTGAGACTAACTAATTAGGAAGGCAAAGAGGAATTATGAAAGTAAATTATCAAGGAATATAAAAAGAAATAGTAAAATATTCTGCAGACATAAATATCAAAAGAAAAATCAAAATAGTAATCGGGCCACGAAGGGATGGACAAGAGAAGCTTACAGGCCGTGATAGCGAAATGGCAGAAATATTAAATAATTACTTTGCCTAAGTATTCACCAGGGAGATGGATCAGGTGGACATGACAGTAGAAGAAGAGATTGAAAACAATATAAGTACATTTAAGATACAAAGGGGAGATATAATCAAAAAACTAACAAAACTCAGAGAGGATAAAACCCCTGGTCCAGATTTGATTGCATCCGCGTTTTTAAAAGAATCGAGGAAAGAGATAGCAGAGGCACTATTACACATATATAATAACTCATTACAAAAGGGAGTAGTACCAGAGGACTGGAGGATAGCTAATGTTATACCTATGTTTAAAAAGGGAGATAAAACAAGCCCAGGGAACTATAGACCTCTCAGCTTAACATATGTGGTAGGAAAGTTAATGGAATCCTTACTGAAGGAGGTAATAGAGAAATATCTAGAAACAAAAAACATAATAGTCAGCAAGGATTTCAAAAAGGAAGGTCATGCTTGACCAACCTCATTGAATTCTTTGAAGGGGTAACAGAAAGAGTAGACAAGGATAATGCAGTAGATGAAATATATTTAGATTTCCAAAAGGTGCTTGATAAGGTACCACATAATAGACTAATGAATAAGGTCAGAGCATGTGGAGTCAGGGGAAAAATAGCAGAATGGATAGCAAGCTGGCTACGAAACAAAAAAACAGAAAAATAGGAATAGGGCCACTAAGGGATGGATAAGCGAAATGGCAGAAATATTAAGTAATTACTTTGCCTCAGTATTCACCATGGAGCAGATTAGGTGGACATGTCAGTAGAAGAAGAGGTTGAAGATAATATAAGTACATTTAAGATACAAAGGGGAGATATAATATAATGAGGGAAAAAGGAATAGAAGGTTATGCTTGAAGGCTTAGTTGAGGAAGGGCAGGAGGAGGCTCATGTGGAGCATAAACACCGGCATAGACCAGTTGGGCCGAATGGCATGTTTCTGTACTGTATATTCTAATGTATTCTAATATAAAATAGTTTTATAGTCATCTGCTCTTTACCATTCCAGTAATAATCCTACATTATGTCCCTTAGCTACCAATTTACAAAGCAGGAGAAATAATCTTTCATAGCGTTGAAGTTAGAATTAAATGCAGATATTCTTACTCCAACACATTCTTTCAACATTGGAAATCCTTGCCTCCACTCTGTTCCTTTGTTCCATCAATGTAGATTGTTGCAGCAAAGGAAGAGTGTGAAGGGTAGGATGTTCCAACCTTCCAATTGCTGCTTGATTTATCGTTTTTTTATCCTGCTTTCTTTTCAACCTTGGTGGCAACCTACACTGTAGGTTTTGTCCCTATTACTTGTTTTCTCAATATCAATAAAAAGAATAATTAACTTTTTCTGGTGATTTAAGATATTAAGAGATGGAGATCTTGGTGTTTTGGTGGACCGGTCACTAAAATCATCATGGTGTTTATTTGGAGACAAGAAAGGATCTGCTGCTACAATAACAAAATTACATTTGTACAGCACCTTTCACATCGGGAGGACTTCCCAAGGCGCTGGACAGACAGAGTTTTGTACGCGAGCTGGGGATCAGGAACAGGGAGGGTGGAGGGCAGGAGGGGAAGCTGGGAGATCGAAAGCACGGTTGAAGAGGAGGGTCTTGAGATCGGTCTTGAAGGAGGCAAGAAAGGGGGCAAGGCAGAGGGACTGCGGGATGAAGTTCCAGAGGGTGGGGGCAGAGTGGCAGAAGGCCCGTCCGCCAATAGTGGGGCGAGCAAGGCAGGGGACGTGAAGCAGGCCAGAGCCCACTGAGTGGAGCGAGCGAGCAGGATGGTAGGGGGTTAGGAGGTCACAAAGGTATTGGAGAGCAAGACCATGGAGGGCTTTGAAGGTGAGGACAAGGATCTTGAACTGTATCCTCTGTGTGATGGGAAGTCAGTGGAGTCGGGCGAGGATGAGGACACGGCTGCAGAGTTCTGGATGATCTGCAGCCTACGGACAGAGGAGTTGGGGAGAGCGACAAGCAGGGAGTTTGCAAAGTCAAGCTTGGATGTTATGAATGCGTGTATGAGGGTTTTGGTGGCCTGTGTTGTGAGACAATGGTGGAGCTGGGCGATGATGCAGAGGTGGGGGAAGGCAGAGTGGGTCGTGGCGCAGATGTGGGGTAGAAAGGATAGTTTCTGGACTGGCTTAGTAATGTGGAGAGTGCATCGATGGATGGTGATGCTGTCAGCGCCTGATGTATGGAGGTGCTGACGGGAGCCAATCAGGAGAGCCTTGGGTCTAGTTTACTCGAAATATGCTCAAAAAACTCGATGAGATTTGTCAAACATGACTTCCCTTTTGTAAAGCCATGTTGACTTGGCCTAATTATATTGTGCTCCTCTATATACCGCACTACCACATCCTTAAACAATGATTCTAAATTTTTTCCTATCACTGATTGTAGACTAAGTGGCCTATGGTTCCCCATCTTTTCCTTTACACCTTTTTTAAATAGTGGTGTGACATTTGTGATCTTCCAATCCATGGGAACTGTTCCAGAATCCAAGGAATTTTGGAAGATCAGACATAAGGCCTCCATTATCTCTTCAGCTGCCTCTTTTAAAACCTTGGGATGCAAACCATCCAGACCAGGGGATTTGTCACTTTTTATTGCTAACAGTTTCCCTAGCACCAATTCTCCACTGATAAAATTTCCCTTAGTTGCTCCCTGTCCTTATCCCCTTGGTGCATCTTTATTGTTGGCAGACTTGTGTTTTCTAGGGTGAAGACAGATGCAAAGTACCCATTTAGGGACTCTGCCGTGTCCTTATCCCCCATTACAACTTCTCCCGTCTCTGACTGAAGTGGACCTACGTTTACCCTCACTTGCCTATTCCTCTTAATATATTTGTAAAAACTTTTACAATCAGACTTAATGTTTCTAGTTAGCTTACCCTCATACTCCTTTTTCTCGCTCTTAATGAGTTTTTTAGTTTTGTTTTGCTGGTTTTTAAAACTCTCCCAATTTTCAGATTTGCTGCTTTTCTTGGCAGTTTTATAAGCTTTTTCTTTTAATTTGATGCTTTCCCTAACTGTTCTAGTTAGCCACGGATGAATTGCTTTCCCTGTGTCGTTCGCCCACAAATATACAGTCAATTCACTTTACAGTATATTCTGTGAAGCACTTTGGGACGTCTAGAAGACATGAAAAGCACTATATCAAATGCAAGGATTATTATTATTATTACTCTTATTCCGCAAGTGAATATGTGACCGCTGAGAATTTTGCACTACATCCTTAAATATTTGCCACTGTTGGTCTACATTTTTACCTCTTAATCTTATTCTCCAGTCTATTTTACCTAAATCTTTCCTCATACCTACAAAATTAGCCCTATTTAAGTTCAGAATACTTGCCTCGGATTTAACTATATCCCTCTCTAACTTAATGCAGAATTCAATCATGTTGTGATCACTCTGCCCTAGAGGAATTTTAATACCTACATTGCCAACTAGCCCCGTTTCGTTACACAGAACAAGGTCTAGGATGGCCTGTCCCCTCGTTGGTTCCTTGGCATGCTGCTCTAGAACGTTATCTCTCATACGTGTTGTGTTTATCAGAGCTGCACTCCAGATCAGGCCTTAGTAATGCTTTATACAGCATCAACATACAGCTTTTGATTGTGGTGACTCTAAAAGGCAGTTCCTTATTTGATTTTATGACAGCCAAGAACTGGCTGCTTTATTCTGCTTCATAATTTGGCATAATCTATACATTCGAAGATTTTGCTTGAGGCATAGTCTCTCCACTTAACAATATAACCGGTGAAGCTTTGGAATATCCTCCTGATGTGAAAGGCGCTATGCCAAATGCAAGAGTTATTATTACGTTGTTAAAAATAGCAACGGTGTATTGCAGTTGCTGCTGCTAACAAAGCTTGTAAAATATGTACATCTGCTCCTTCATAATTCAACCGCAGAAGATCACAATGTGAAATGACCTAAAATGTATTTATTCATTCCATGTGTTTTGGACATTCAATCATTCATTAATCATCGCAGTCAGCTTGTTTATCAGCACTATAATGCTGTGCCTTATAAGGTCATGGGCCTCATTTACAGCTCACTCGGCAACATAATTATGATTAATACTGTTTCTTGATGCTTGGAATGACTTAGCTTGGGTTGTGCTTGGCGCATTGTGCATCAATGGCTCAATGGAAAACTGATTATAGTTAGCACTGAGTTTCTTGTCTGAAGTATTTATGTCCTAGTCCAAATTTAGGGTTCATGTTTAGATTTTTTTTTCTTACCCCCACCCTGTTTTCTTCCCTCCTCTTCCTGAAGGTGTTTTGAATTTTTGACACTGCTGAAATGCAGTTACGTGACTGACATTTTGGTTTTTCAAACACAAGCATCTCCAGCAGTATGGCGTTCACAAATGGGAACCATGATTTAATTTCCCCAGTCTAACTAAAAAACCTTGAGGCCAATTTGCCATACCCCTAAGGCTGGCACAGCTGAGAACAACAAACCCAGCATAAACCGTGAATTGAACCTGGGATAGTTACGGTCTGCATGCCTCAGGAAACTTGCTGAATAACTTGCTGAGCCATTGAGAGCTGAAAACTTAATGTTTAATGGAGCATAATTAATCAGATCCATTTCCTTATTTGCATTGTTGATAATATTTATTCATGCTTTTGTATTACTTCAACAGAAAAACCATGTGTACAAGAAGACTCTCCAAGCCTTAATCTATCCTATTTCTTGCACCACACCACACAATTTTGAGGTCTGGACAGCCACAACACCAACGTACTGCTACGAGTGTGAGGGTTTGCTGTGGGGTATCGCTCGTCAGGGAATGCGCTGCACTGAGTGTGGGGTAAAATGCCATGAAAAGTGCCAAGACTTATTAAATGCAGATTGTTTACAACGTAAGTCTTTCCTGTGTAATTACAAATATAATTTGTGGTTGTTGTGCAATTACTTATTTCTACTGTTTCACCAATATTTGGACAGTTTGTTTTGATTGCAAGAGAGATACAGAATAAGGTCCTTCGGGCTATTTGATTTAATTCTCCCACAATGTCCATCATATCTTCATTCCACTTCAGGTCCTAGTTGTTCTTTATTGTCCGAGAATTGATCACCCTTCCAGCTGCTTATGCCAGGATGCATAGGTTCATCTGAATTGTAAATCCTACCACTCTCTAGATCAATAGCAATCTACTATCAAAGGTCTGTCGGTTTGTCTGCCTGGGGCAATTCTGCTTTATATTCTGCCAACCCCGCAATGCAGCCAAATAAAAGCAATTGTCTGATTGCTTTGAAAGAATAATGTGGAAGTGCTACAAGATGTCTGAAAGCAGTAATGTGGGGATTTTTTTATCTACATGGCTCAAGAATTAAGGATTGAACTGCTGGAATCAGCTTTGATGGTGCAGTGGAACATCAGCTTACAGACCAGGAGCTGCTTACAATCCTGGTTTGGGCTGAGATTGCTGATCTCAGTCAGGGCTGCATGGGGACTCTCTCCTTCCCAAAGTTAGAGTGGGAAAACAGCCAGTTTTCCTGCTCTTAGTCCCCCTTCAGTACTTTTTACTGGTTGTTCACTTTTGTGGCATATGGGTAAGGAGAGGTCAGGCTGAACTTTGAACTTCCCCCTACTGTAGAGTGGCCTGTTGACACTCACTGCTGAGGCTCACACATGACAACTGAATAGGATTCTGCAGGGCATCCAGTGCTTGTGGGACCACAGCCCAGCAAGAGGAGGAAAGACCAGTAGCAATTTGGCATGTGTCCACGGGGGGGAAAAATTAGAAAAAAAAATTGGACACAAATTTAAAAAAAAATTGAATTGCTTAATAATTATATATTAAGCTACAACAGTCAGGAAGAGGCAAATCTAATATACTTAATTGTGATTAAACATATAGTGGCCAGCAAATCCTTGCGATGTGCAATCATAGTAATGTAACACCTTTCACTCATTCTGGGGAATTTTTTTTTATTTCCACGTTGATTTGAAGTTTCTGCTTTGTTGCCTTTGAACAGGAGCCGCAGAGAAGAGCTCTAAACATGGGGCAGAAGATCGGACACAAAACATCATTATGGCGATGAAAGACAGAATGAAAATCCGAGAACGCAACAAGCCAGAAATCTTTGAGCTGATCCGGGATGTTTTTGGAGTGACCAAGGTGGCACATGCACAACAGATGAAGACAATCAAACAGAGTGTACTTGAGGGAACATCCAAGTGGTCAGCAAAGATTACTATAACAGGTACAGGGCAAAAATATACAGTCAATTCACTTTACAGTATATTCTGTGAGGTGCTTTGAGACATCTCGAAGATGTAACAAGGCATTTGTATCAAATGCAAGGATTATTCTTCTTAAAATTATGTCCACATTATCTGTGTTTTTTTATAAACTGGAAAATGTTAGGGATCTTGATCACTGATACACTAAAATGTCAGTCATTTCAAAGGAAGATTCAAAAGTATCTACATAATTTTTTCCATTTAAGTTAGTTCTCCAGTTAGAATAGTTATGCCACTTGCAAGGAACAAAATCTGTACACCATATAAACAAAACAAATATCACACTCAATGCCTTCACAACATTCTAATTGATACTACAAGTGCAGACCAATTATTATTCAACTCATCTGTCATCTGTTTCATTTTATTCAGGCTATTTGCTTTATGTGAAGCCTCTTCCTTCAGAGTTTTCACCATTATCATTAAAATCTTGCAACCTAGTTTCAAGTTAGTACAGATACACAAATATGCTACAACTTCACAAATTGTCATGGAACTGGTTGATGCTTGCAGCCCATGACTCACTTGGCACAAAGTGCTCTCTGTTACAGAAAGATCTTGTTGGCACTTTAAAGTGTTACATAACACTAACGCATTCTTCATTGTTAGATTTCAGGAATGTTACGCTTAAATATCCAAATTCAGTGGCCTCCCTCACTTTGCAGAGTAGAGCGTGACTCTGTCTCTAGTAAAGCTGATTGCTTACAGAATACAGACACTACACTTTATAGTAAATCCTGAGAAGTGCTTTCAGACACCCTCCTAACATGAAAGGGGAAACTCAAAAAGAAGGATTATTTAGTTTTTTAATTTATCCCACCCTACCTCTGTAACCTGCAACTTTACTGCCAGCTGCTCCTTCCACTCAACAAACACTGGCCTGTTTCACGTCCCACACCCGACCCACCCAACTTCAGAGAGTGAGCAATCAGCCTTTCTGCCCCATTCTCTGGAACTCCTTGCCAGAGTCCCTCCACTTTTCCCCCTATCTTCATTTCTTCAAAGCCTGACTAAAGATCAAATTTTTTGACTGTTTTCAATCACCTTCTTTAGTGACTTGTTTTCCTATGTGAGATCTATCGAATAGTATCTTGGTACTTAGTAGTTTTCATTACATTGTCACCATTTATGTGACCAGTATTTATGGAGACTAAGACGTATTTATTGTTACTGACACAGTAATGAATGTGGTGAAAAAGAAACTGCCAGTACTGAGAACTTTGGTGCAGCAAAGCCTCCTAGTGATTTTAAATATTGAAGTGTGGTGTTCAATCTTGTCTGCAGTGGTGTGTGCACAGGGACTTCAAGCCAAGGATAAAACTGGCTCCAGCGACCCATATGTCACTGTTCAGGTTGGCAAAACCAAGAAGCGAACAAAGACTATCTACGGGAATCTGAACCCTGTCTGGGAGGAGAAATTTTATTTGTAAGTTTCCTGTTGACTGTTTTTTCTCATACTTGGAGGAGAATCAGATTCAACATATTTTTGTTTGTTCATTGTAGCCTGTTCAGATTAGCTGGGCTTTCATGTTTGATGATGAGGAATGCATTGATATAATTATGTATTTAACATCACACTTTCCTTTATAAGAAATCTGTCTCTCCTGATCCACTCAGCTTTATAGCTGCAATTAATCTCAACATCCCAGTACTGTGTAGGGCAATGCAATGATCCCTGCTGGATATTTATGCATATCGGATGAGAACAGTCTTGGGCTTGGCTGTGGTGCTCCATTGTGTTGAATGTTCCTCCATTTCTTAATATCAACATCCATGACAAATGGCCCCTTGGATGAAATTTCTGAAGTTAGTTTAACTTATGCCGGAGTTAAAGATCCCAAGATGTACACAAAAAGAGAAAGACATTTCTCCGAATATGCTGACCAACAATCCTCCAGTTAAATTTGGCTTTCACCTAAGGGCAGTTGACTATAGATAGCTAATTCCATGTGAGGCATTTTGAGGTATTTCAGTATGATAATTCACAACGATAAATGAAAATTCCTTCTTTCTAAACCATGTGGTACCCACTTAAATCCCTCAGTACCTTTAGCAGGGAAAGGGAAGATATTGCAAAGAGGGAGAAAAAATCTGTGCATCAAATCACAGAGATCAATTCACATTTTCTCTGGGTTTTAATGTAATTCTTGAAGTGAGATTTTACAGATTGTATCAAGCACAACATTAGCTTTTCATTCTCCGTGCTTTCTGGATGTGGGCATGACCTATTACTAGTGTCAGCTTGTGTTTACTTTGATGCTGGAAGCTTAACGCCTATTTTAGTGATCTTACATTTTAAAAATAGGCCAGCAGAATACAGTTAATGTGCATGATTGAGTCAAACTATTTTTTCTTTGTAATCAGTGTCACATTATACAACATAATGTTGATAGTCATCACTGTGTTATAGCATCTAATTTTAATGCTATTCTTCCTGTCTGGAACAAATGTGCTCAGCCTGCCACACAGCAGCAGAGCGGATGTTTTTCTCAGACTCTCCCACAGCCACCTTTGGACTGAATAATGTGCTCCATTCTTATTTGAGCCTAATAAATCACTTTGACATCTTGAGTTCAGTGTGAAGATTCCCATTTTTGTTTAAATTTGTCATTTTAAGTCTCGGTATAAATGACTCACAGGTCTTGCTTGTTTTTGGTTTAAATATCAGCCACTAATTCTCCCCTTCATTACCTGTCTACTTGCATCAGGCACTGTTTGATTTGTGAAGCATTTTGTTTTAATTTCTTCCCTCTGCCATTTATTGGTCACTTCACAACATACGGCACAAGTGATTGTTTGCTGGTCGCTACATTTATCCTCTTCGGTGCTGGGAGTTTGTAGTGAGATTTTTCATCTTTTCTATTCCAATGTAAATTACTACATTTATGGCCTTTAAAATCTATCTGTCATTCTTTATCTCATCCATCTAATTGGCATAGGTCATTTTGAATTGCGTCAGTATTCACTTGTTGTCATCACGATATCTCGTTCTGAGAGTAAACATAAAGTACTCTCTTCCAGAGGCAGAACAGACTGAAGGAGAATGCGATTGCTCACTTCCTCACCACATAGAATCTTATAGAATCTTTCCTGAACTCCAGGACAACTGAGGTCCTGACCGACTGCCTGTCCGATATCAAGTCCTGGACGAGGGCCAACTTTCTCCAACTCAACGTCAGCAAGACCGAGGCCTTCCTGATTGGCTCGCGCCAGCGCCTCCGCACCTCAGGCGCTGGCAGCATCAGCCTCTATGGCTGCACACTCAACCTCACTAAGCCAGTCAGGAACCTGGGTGTCTTGTTTGACCCTGAACTGTCCTTTCTCCCCCACAACCGCGCCATGACCGGCACTGCCTACCACCACCTCCGCAACATTGCCAGACTCCGCCACTGCCTCACCCCTCAGGCTGCCAAAACCCTCACCCATGCATTCGTCACCTCCAGGCTTGATTACGGGAACTCCCTCCTCATCGGCCTTTCAAACTCTTTCCTTCACAAACTGCAGATCATCCAAAACTCTGCAGCTCGTGTACTCTCATGCACCAGGCTCCGCGACCCCATTACTCCCACCCTCACCTGACTCCACTGGCTCCCCATCCCCCAGAGGATCGAGTTCAAGATCCTCGTCCTCACCTTTAAGGCCATCCATGGCCTTGCCCCCTCCTACCTCTCTGACCTGCTGACTCCCTACCAACCTGCCCGCTCCCTCCGCTCATCAGGCTCCGGCCTGCTCCATGTCTCCCGCCCGATCCACCCTGCCATCGGTGGCTGGGCTTTCAGCCTCCCTGCCCCCACACTCTGGAGCTCCATCCCACGGTCCCTTCGTTTCACTTCTTCCCTTGCCTCCTTCAAGGCCGGTCTCAAGACCCTTCTCTTTGACCGTGCCTTTGGTCTCCCTCCCACCTCTCTGCCTTCCCTCACCCCTACACCACTCCTCCATGCTCGGGCCCCGACATCTGACGGTTCAGCGCTTTGGGACGTCCTCCCGACGTGAAAGGCGCTCTATAAATGTAAATTTGTTGTTGTTACAGCACAGAAAGAGGCCATTCCGCCCGTCATGCTGTGTCGGTTCTTTGAAAGAGCCATCCAACTAGTCCCACTCCCCTGCTTTTACCCCATATCGCTGCAAATTTTTCCTTTTTAAGTAGCTATCCAATTCTCTTTTGGAAGCTTCAATCAAATCTGCTTCCATCACGCTTTCAGGCAGTGCATTTCCAGATCTTAACCACTCTCAAGGCTTGTAATTATAATTGTTCTCAGTCCAAGGTAGAGAACAAAAGGGAATTTTGCAGAAAGTCCTTTCAGACTTCAGTACAATCAACTATAAATGGAACTTTTCAGGTTTTGTAAATAAATTGTGCTGTGTTGTTTTCTGTGTAATTTTTTTCCTCATCAGTTTATTCTATTTGTCACAGTGAATGCCACAATTCTTCTGATCGAATCAAAGTACGGGTTTGGGATGAGGATGATGATATTAAGTCACGTGTTAAACAAAGGCTAAAACGGGAATCAGATGATTTTTTGGGTCAGACGATCATTGAGGTTCGAACACTAAGTGGAGAAATGGATGTCTGGTACAATCTGGGTGAGTAAAAGGATAATATTTATTCATTCGATCGATTTCACCTTCAGTCCATTGTCCAGGTTGGCCACCATTTTTTCAGACATTTCCTCATTGCATCTTGGCAAACGCTCTTTTTTAATGTTAGAAAATTAATAATTTGTAAATATAGTTGTAGTAGCTACTGCAAAAAAACGTGCAATGTAAGAAAACAGAATGGATGTGAATATTGCCACTCAGTCTGGTAAATGTTTTCCACAGAATAATTAATTTTCTCAATGTCTACAGAATGAACATTGCAAATAGCATAAAACAAGTAATACATTAATCATTTAAATGGACAACTGTTGTAGATACACATTGCATTCTTTGGTCTTCTATTATTTTTTAAACTCCCCCCCAAAAAAACTTTTTTTATTTTAGTTGTTCGACTGGGAGTGAATTGCATGTAAAAATTAAAACTTTGCTTTGAGCTTTGTTTGTTCTGTGCTGTGTGATAAATTATCCACTGCTTCAAGTGTCGGGTAAGACAAGGCAAACTGACCTAATTTTTTTCTTCTTTCAGAGAAAAGAACAGATAAATCTGCAGTTTCAGGTGCTATTCGACTGCAGATCAGTGTTGAAATCAAAGGTGAAGAGAAAGTCGCTCCTTATCACATCCAGTATACCTGCCTGCATGAAGTAAGTGCAGCCTCTCTGGGTGACTGAATGACGTTGGACCGGAATAGAGTACTGGATGATTATCAGTACATTACATTGCAGTAATCCAATGAACAGTTTGCTCTGCTACAGACTTGATGGGCTGAATGTCCTCCTTCGGTACCATAATTTTTTATGATTCAGTGATTCTCACAGTTTAGACCCCAACATTATCACCACGTATTATGGTGAACACCTGGATATACAAGCTGCCTTTTGAAATTGGCTTTAGTCTGAAAACTTATCAGATTCCAGTATCGTGGTTTGGGAATTTCAGCAAAATACCAGGAGATAGGGGTGAATTTCCGTGTGGAACAGCCATCTGTTTAAATAAAAGCTTGGTGCGGTCTTGTACTTTGATACTGATTATACTGTTGGATATTTTCTGGAATGCTAAGCCTATGACTGTTATTTTGCAGAATCTTTTCCACTGTCTCACAGACCTTCTGAGTAATGGTGTTGTGAAAATACCAGAAGCTAAAGGAGACGACGCTTGGAAGGTTTACTTTGACGAGACCGCACAAGAAATAGTGGATGAGTTTGCCATGCGTTATGGCATTGAATCCATTTATCAGGCAATGACGTGAGTTTAAAAGGAAAAAATGATTAAGAAGAGAAGTAATAAATTGTGGGACAAACAAAACCTGAGCATTTATTTTTTTAATCAATCACACCAATAGAAGAAAGGGAATCTATTTTTTATTTTTAAAAAAAAATGTAATACCAATCTGAAATGAGGGCTGGTGATTCAGTACATATAGTACATTATATGTTTAGGCTGTGTTTTGACAGATAGAGTAGCTTCTAGAGAACTGAGATTGATTACACATGTTAGAGATGAGCAGGGCAGCAAATATCACAAATTCAATGCTATCAACTTTTTTTTCAATGTACCTGAGCAATTTTCGTTTGGGAGATGACTGCTATCAAGGGTGCCGATTGTTAATTGGCAAAAGAACATGCAATATGTTAAAAGTAGTTGCCTCAAATGGAGGCAGCTAAATTAAAAGCTTTTTTGGGTCAACCGAGTGTCTGACACATGTGGAAACCCATCACCATGCTTAAGAGTATCCAAACCTAACTGAGAATTCCACACATCCCACCTCTGTATGGAAATTCCAGAGATAGATTGTTGGAATAGAATGCTCACCTTTACCCTGGAAGAGCGCAACCTGCTTACCTAATTCCGAAAAGTATTAGGCAAGGATTGGCAAGAGCCAAGGCTTGAGGACTTGAATATGTGCATTGGGGTACTGCTGGATTCTAACCAGCTTAACCTGCATAGCTTGCCATTGATATGGTTGTTGAGCAAACTTTCCTGCTGCTTGTGAACTTGATCCGGAGATATGGAGTCCACTTCAACATGTACATGAATGACACCCAATTCTATCACTCTACCTTTAATTCCGGGAACAATGCTGTTCTGACTGACTGTCAGATATCAAATCCTGGATGTCTTCCAAGTTGCACCAGCAAAATGTCAACAAGACCAAGGCTTTCCTGCTTGATTCCCATCATTGCCTTCTCACAGTAGGTGCCACCTCATCATCCTGCACAGATGCTCACTCCACCTCTCATGGCTGTGCAGAACCTCAGTGTCCTGTTCCCAAATTTTAGCAAGTGTGAGTCCTCATCTGGACTCTCAGTTGCTAGCCTTTCCACACCAGGCCTGCCTCCATCACTGTCTCTCCCCTCAGCTGCTGATAACCTCATTCACACTTTCATAATGTCCATGATTGATTATTCCATTTATTAATGCAAGGATTACTATTCCAATGCCTTGCTCACTGGACTCCCCAGCTCCTCCCTACACAAGTTGCAAACCATCTAGAAGTCTGCAATCTGTGACCTCTTCCACACCAGGCTTGGCTAGTCCATTTCCCCATCCTCACTCAACTTCCAGCGGATCAAAGATCCTTGTCCTCTCTTTCAAATTCCTCCACAGCTTTGACCTTACCTCTGTAACCTGCCTTAACAGCTCGCTCCACTCGGCAAACATCAACCTGCTTCATTCGCCCACCCGTTCTGCCTCATCATCGGCTAGTGAGCATTCTGCCCCACAGTATCTCTACCTGGACCCCTTCCTCTCCATCTTCACAACTTGCCATAACACTATCTATCCAGCTTGGGCTCCCAGTCAGCTGTGTGAAACACTCAGAGACAAAGTTGTAAAATGAAATGTGCTATAGAAATGTGAATTGTTGCTCTATTAAGATTAAATTCAGCACAAAGGTTCACGCTTTATTAAATGTGATTAAAAAGATCGATACATTCAAATTCTTGTCTATTTCTGTTGCACATGTGCATGTTTACTAGATAACTAACTGTGTGCTTTTGCTGTTGCAGGCATTTTGCTTGTTTGTCTTCTAAATACATGTGCCCTGGAGTGCCAGCAGTAATGAGTACCTTGTTAGCTAATATAAATGCATACTATGCACACACCACTGCCTCTACCAACGTATCTGCCTCTGATCGCTTCGCTGCTTCAAACTTTGGGGTATGTTCATGCCTACAATTTTCTTAAATGTTTGTCTTTTTTTGTCATCAATTTATACCCTTTCTCCTCTCCTGAATGAAATTCTCTTTGTTCACACAGAACAATAGACATTTTAACAAAAAAGGAAGCCATAGAAGGCTTCCATTTTCCTACTGGTGCTCATTAGGACACCAGTGCCAAGATGGTGTGTTATAATGGGGTTCCCCTGTTCTCTCTTTCCCAAACTTGTTCATACTGTTAATTTGTTAATTGTGACCACTTTCTCATTTGCTGTGGATGCATTGCACTGATTTGAACTGTTTTAAATTGTCATACGACTCCCACAGCTACCAAATGCTGAAGACTTTAATAAAGACACTATTTAGTATCAGAATAAGATATAAGGTAATGAAAGTTTCCAAAACGTTTCTCACAGCTTCTATTAAAATCTGAAGAATCATTATGACAAGGAAGATGGAAGTATCCATATCTCCCATCATTTCGTCCAGAAAATATACAGTCAATTCACTGTACAGTAGATTCTGTGAAGCACTTTGAGATGTCTCGGAAGACGTGATAAGGCGCTATATCAAATGCAAGGATTATTAATATTATCATTAAATCGGATAGTGAAGATGTTGAGGTTGAGAAAAATGCTCAAATGGAAAAATAGCACGATTGCTGGAGAAAAGCTTCTGGTGATGTTGTAATGTCTCATGCAACTCCCAACTCATGTACATCACATTGTCTGCAAGAACTCTACTCCTACCCGAGATTGTGGCATTTATGCTAAGTTTTTCGTGTCAATGCACTTCTTTCAACACCATTAACTTGGAATTGTGTTTCTTTCCTTCAACTACTGTGAGCCATGAAAATAATTATTATTCTCAACCGAGGAGAAAAAATATGAGTAAGATAAGGAAGGCAATAGAGAGTCATTAGATCCCAGATATATCATGCAGAAATTGCTATGTCAGCCAGAAGAGTATTTTTCATACTGTGCTTTGTAGGTGATGGCTAATGGAAAGCATTTTCAGTTTTCTATACTTGCACAGGTGTGGTTCTGATATATTTCTGATATTCCTATATGTATTCTTTTGACAAAACAGAAAGAAAGATTTGTGAAGCTACTTGACCAGCTGCATAACTCGCTTCGAATTGATCTGTCCATGTATAGGGTGAGTATTATTTTCATCCTGTCTACATGTTTGCAACAAAACCGTGCAAATTTCTAGTAATTTTCTCAGTAATGTGCTGCCTGCCAAACCTTACAATGTTAGGTTATGTAGAAGGTGAAGATATTGGATGTGACACGGTACTGGATAATATTGCATATCTTCAGTCTCTGCATTGTCATTAATCACTGGACTACTGAGTTGATCATTCCTCCTATAATTGTGAAATTAAAAATCCCAAACCTTTACAGTAGTCACTGTGTGCTCACATATATAAACCACTGGAATTTTATTCGTAAGCTTTTGACAACACACACAAAGGCAAATAATTAGATTTAAAATGTAACTTCTGGTGCACGTAAACTCCCAGGATCTTTAAGATAATAGTTGGCTGACTGTTACCTAAACTGCACTTCTCAACTACTGTGGAGAATGTAAATGGGCATTGGTTAGAATATATTAGAATATACAGCACAGAAACAGGCCATTCGGCCCAACTGTCTTCACACACAACAGACAAAAAAAGACAACAGGCAGAGGGCGAAACCTTGGGCAAGTTTCCTTACTCCACACGCCTAATAATAATCCCTCCAAAAAACAAAACAATAATAAATTGGTCATTTTCAATCTATGACTGTTTGTGGGACATTGCTGTGCGCAATTGGCTGCCGCGTTTGCCCACAAATATATAGTCAATTCACTTTACAGTGTGTTCTGTGAAGCGCTTTGGGACGTCCTCCCGACGTGAAAAGCGCTATATCAAATGCAAGGATTATTATTATATTATTATTATTATTATAACTGGTCTATGCCGGTGTTTATGTTCCACATGACCCTCCTCCTGCCCTTCCTCAACTAAGCCTTCAAGCATAACCTTCTATTCCTTTCTCCCTCATGTACCTATCCAGCTTTCCCTTAAATACATCTATGCTATTTGCCTCAACAACTCCTTGTGGTAGCACGTTCCACATTCCCACTATGTGTGTGAAGACATTTCTTTTAATTTCCCTATTTGATCTATTTGTGACTATTTTAGATTGATGGCCCCTGGTTTTGGTCTCCCCCACCAGTGGAAACATCTTTCTTATGTCTACCCTATCAAAATCTTTCATAATTTTAAAGACTTCTATCAGGTCACCCCTTATCCTCCTCAAGAGAGGTTGTCAGGAGAAAAAATAGGACTTAGTAACATTTTACAAAGTTCACGATGTTCAATTATGAAATCAATTGGATTTGTTAATGAGGACAGTGGCTCTCTGTCATTCTTTCTCTGGGATTCTTGACCCTGTCATTTCAACACTGTCTCTCATATCGCTTGTTCTTTCCCATCAGAACAACAACTTGGATTTATATTTGTGTCCTTAATGCAGAGTAATGTGTCGGATCACTTTATACAATTGGTGCCAGACACCAATCAGGGAGACTGAGCAATAGGTTGAGAGTTCATTCATACTTATCTTCCTCTTCCCTCTCACTGAACCACTTTCTCTCTATCTCTTCATTAGTGCTCATACTAAATCTTATTCACTCTCACTCTATCCTATAACTCACTTACCTTTTTGTCTCTTTCCTCAGTTAATCATTCACATTCTTTCTCACTGTCTTGCGTCTCTCTCTCTCTCTCTCTCTCTTTCCACTCACATACCCACAAACTAACTCCCTCTCACTCTTTAACCTCTATCCCTTTTGTCATTCTCTCACTCTCTGTTTTACCTCTCCATTACCTCTGTTACATTCAGACTCGCTCACACTCTTACCCATCGCTCACTTTGTTCTCCCTGTTGCAGACGTGCAGAGCGAAGCAGTTCTCTCTGTTTGTCTCTTGTATCCATGGGATACAATTCCCATAAAAAGTGGACCTTTGCTTCTACAGGGAATTGAGAAAATCTGAGTGGTTGTGAGAGGCAGTGCACAGGAAGTAGATGTTCTAAAGTAACAAGGGAACATGTAGTAAAAATGGTTGTGCTGCACTGAACAATTTACAGGTTCCTGGAACATGCTTTTGACTATAGGACTCTCTGACTTTCCTGATCCTGGGAATGAAGTCTTTATGTCTTTACACAGAGAACAACTAATCATGAGATATTTATCCTTGTTGCAGTTGTCTCCAAGTTAAGATACTATCTAACACCTTCATTAAATTAGTTGTTCAAAAAAAACCAAGGCCCATAGCTTTAAATGTTCATTCTGTTTTTGTATGAGCATTTTCTTATATCTAGCGAGTTAATGTGTTAGAAAGAAGTCCCTTGTTGGATCACTTTGTTGCTTTCTTCATTTTACATTTTGGAATGATAAATGTGGGTCAATGTGTGATTCTCATTGATGTATTATTAGATGAAAACAGTGCAGTTACAGGTAGATGTTTATGGTTTCAGTGGTAAAGGGCATTTAAGAGTAATTTCCATAATGAATTTGGAATTATTTTCTTGAATTGACTCTTAATTGCAGTTATTTTTAGCTGATGAATATTAAAATCAGTATGTCATTGTGTAAGATTTCCAGGCAAGAAGCGAGCAAAATAATTTTAGGCATGAATATAGATAATATTTTTAATCCAGTAATATTTTGGAGACATGAATATTTTTAAATTGCTCCTCAGGTAAATGGAGTAATTCATGTAAGGAATTAAGTGAAAGCTAATTGGATGAGGGAGTTTAAATTTATTTTAAACTGTTTCATGCCTTTTGAGTTTGTTTTCCTTCCCCAAATCAAAGTTTAATTCACCTTAACACAATCTGATTTTAATGAGTTCTTTTCGCAGTTGTTTTTGTCAACCAGGAACCTGACAAACAGGTTTCGGAGCCTATAGTTTCAGCTGCTTAGAATTTGTAGTTCAAGCCAATATCATTGATAGAAAATTGAATAACTTGTCAATTCTGTCGAACCTTCTTTGTAATTCCCAGAGTATTCATTTTCAGAAATTGAAGATCTGTTTCTTTTTGTCAACAGAACAATTTCCCTGCCAGCAGCCCGGAGCGATTACAAGATCTGAAATCCACAGTGGATCTCCTGACCAGTATAACCTTCTTTAGGATGAAGGTAACCCTCTACTGCTGTTATTCATGTTTATATTTTAACAAAATTTTTATTCTGTGGCTGAAAGCATGACCGCCGATAGTGGAGCGGAAGGGAAGAGGGACGGTGCAGGATGCCAGAGCCAGCTGAGTGAAGATGGCGGATATTGGAGTGGGGAGTAAGCAGGTCGGAGAGGTTTGGAGATGCCAGGGTATGAAGTGATTTGTACATGTGATTATCTTGAAATCGATCCGTTCTATAATAGGGAGCCAGTGGAGCCTGGCAAAGACTGGGGTGATGGGAGTACAGTTTGGTGCAGATGAGGATAAGGCCTCTCACATCTAAATTAATGGTTCAAAGAGGGTTGATTAGTTGGAAATAAATGATAAACTTTTATTTAATATCAAATGTTATATCTGGAGAAAACAGCACTGAATGAAAAAAGCCATTTTGAAGCTTGAAGCTTCTTCCACAGACGCAAAAAAGACTTTTCAATCTGTATTCCACTCCACCAAAAAACAACTATTATCTCCTTGAGGGAAAGGTCCAATTTTTTATTTTATAACTCCTTGCTTGTCGGCCTCCCCAACTCCTCCCTCCATAGGCTGCAGATCATCCAGAACTCTGCAGCCCATGTCCTCTCACGCACGAGGCTCTGTGACCCTATAACCCCCATTCTTGCCTGATTCCACTGGCTTCCCATCACACAGAGGGTACAGTTCGAGAACCTGGTCTTCACCTTCAAAGCCCTCCATGGTCTTGCTCCCCCCTACCTCTGTGACTGCCTAATTCCCTACAATCCTGCTCGCTCCCTCCACTCAGTGGGCTCCGGCCTGCTTCACATCCCCCACCTCGCCCGCCCCACCATTGGCGGACGGGCCTGCTGCCATGCAGCCCACCCTCTGGAACTCCATCTCACAGTTCCTCCGCCTTGCCTCCTCCTTTGCCTTCTTCAAGACACATCTTAAGACCCTCCTCTTCGACTGTGCTTTTGATCACCCTGCTTCCCCCGCCAGCCCTTCAATTGCAACCCCCAGGTCGGGTCCGAATCTCTAACCTGTCCAGCGCCTCCCGACATGAAAAGCACTATACAAATGTAATTTTGTTGTTGTTGTTTATTGTGGAGCTATTTGATGCTTAATCTTCTGTTTTATCTGGAATTTGCACCATATATCCACTACTTTACAATAGCAGAAATGATTCCGCTCTCTCATCTTTTTAGGTGTGTTAATTTTAAACCCACGTCCTTCACTTCTGCTCTCACCGTGTTAGTCAAACAGCCTGTTCTTCTCCTTGACTTATTTTTCTAATCATTTTAAAGCTGGGGATCATTGCCTCCATTCTCCTCTCGTTTGCTAATGAAACAATTGACACCAGTGGAAACCACAGGACTTTCATTCTCAGATGTTGATTCGACGTGAATGCGTTGGAATAACAGACACTCAGCTTGTACTCAGATCTGAACACCAGAATGAGCTCCTAAACTTGGCCAGCATTGCAATGTAGTCAGTGCTGATAGAGCGCTGTTGGAGTTGCTGCTTTTTGGAAGAGATGTTAAACAAAGGTTCCACCACCTGCTTAGATCCCGTTAATCTACAAATACACAGTTGCCTTACTGACCATCAATTACCTTTAACATACTTTGAGGTGTTTTGACAAAGCCCTATATGAAATGCAATGATTATTATTTTATAGAAACAATTTTTAAAAAAATAATTTGACTGATGTAATGGAATGCGGCTATGTGAATATCCCAGCTGCAGTTTTAGCTTGATTTGTATGTCGTACCTTCAGGCACATGGTTTACAGGTCTAACATTGCTATTGCTGTTTGGGTACTCAATTGACGAGAAGGTGAGTTTTATTTAAAAAAGCATGTCACGTTGATCATGTTGAATACCAGTATCTTGTATTTGCTTTTATTTCTATGCTTTCTCAAATCTTGTGCAAATATTAATTTTCAATATGGAACAAAGTCAAATAATCTCTGTACACATCATCATGTGTGTTTCACATTTGTTCAGGTGCAAGAGCTGCAGAGCCCACCTCGAGCCAGTCAAGTGGTAAAGGACTGTGTGAAAGCTTGCCTCAATTCCACCTATGAATATATCTTCAACAACTGCCATGAACTGTACAGTCGAGAATATCAGACTGATCCAGTGAGTGACTGTTAGATTATTTCAAAAACTATGCAAAAACAATACTTTTTTGTGTTAAGGTTCAAGGACAGGTGAATTGTCCAATATTCAAAGAAGACTCGTAGAAATTCCTGTATTCTCTTTGCATTTGATCTTGCCAAATAATAAAATTCTACTTTTGCTGAAATTGTACAAGAAATTGTAAAATCCTCCTGACATGAAAGGCACTTTACAAAAGTGTAATTTTGTTGTTATAAATAATTTAAATTTGCACACATTAAGAATTAAGTTCACATTTTTGCGTTGACTGTATTTGATTGTATTTTCAGCTGAACAAAATTTAATATGTATTATTTAGGTTCAGTACCATTCTCTTACCCTAACTATGAATGGTAAGCAAAGAATTATCATTAGCAAGGAGTTCCTAGGAGCAGTCTGTACGTTTTATGGTGCACCAGCACTTCACTATCATTAATAATAATATTATTACTTTTATTCCTTGAGTATTTGAATATATTCCCCACTGAAAACTTTCTAGGAAAATGTTTATTTCAGTTCTCTATCTTATGTTGCTAATCTTTTTTTATTGCCATATTTTTTGATCCTTGTGTCTTTCTTTTCTTTCACAGAACAAGAAGCAAGATCTGCCTCCAGAGGAGCAAGGCCCCAGCATCAAGAATTTGGATTTCTGGCCTAAACTTATCACACTTATTGTCTCCATTATTGAAGAGGATAAGAATTCTTATACTCCAGTCCTTAACCAGTGAGTAGAAACTCACTTTCATTATTTCTGTACGGTTGGGTTGCAAAAGCACACAGGTTAATTGTGGGCATCAAGGTGCCAGATAGCATGAGAACTACTTTTTCAACTTCAATTCCAGTGAAACATTTGCTGCTATAATAGAAACGTGTCTTATTTTAATGATTTGTCCACACAATTAAATCCCAGCTATAAGTCTATTGCAGTGCCCTTTCACATTTTAGAGATCTGTCAAAAGCACATAAAAATGTCTGAGAAGATGTTTGCTTGGATTAAATGTGATTCCTTCAGGCTTACCTGTTGGGTCAGTTGGTAAATACATTATCCATTATAGAACTTAGTGTACAGAGCAATAAAGTCCCAGGTTCAATCCCAAATTTGCTGAGTTAGCTGATCTTAGCTGGTTCAGAGGTGTGGGCTAAACAATAAATCTCATTGTGTTCTGGGAGGACAGGTCTCAGGAAGGGACATTCAGGGCAGGGTTCCAGGTCCTCCTCATTATAATAATAATAATAATCCTTACATTTGATATGGCGCTTTTCACGTCTTCTAGACGTCTCAAAGCGTTTCACAGAATATGCTGTAAAGTGAATTGACTGTATATTTGTGGGTGAAATGCAGCAGCTAATTGCGCACAGAAGTGTTCCACAAACGGTCGTGGATTGAAAATGACCAATTTATTATTGTTTTGTTTTGGAGGGATTATTATTAGGTGTGTGGAGTAAGGAAACTTGGCCAAGTTTTTGCCCTGTCTGGAATTGAACCCAGGTGTCTCACTTGCAAGGCGAGTGCTCTAACCACTGAGCTACAAGAGTCCACAGTAGCCTTTGCTGGAAGTTTCATTTTCAGAGATCAGTAGAAGACAGGATTTGGCTCAGTTGAAAATAATAATCCTTGCATTTGTAAACACTCCTTTAATGCTGAACTGTTTAAAAGCATTACATGTATTTACTGTCAAGTGTTTTTTTGTAGGCAAACACAGCAATTATATTGCCACAGCAAGGTACCACAAACAGACATGAAGTCAATGAACAATTTAGCTGGATTATTGTTGGCCAAGACTTAGTCTCTATTCTATTCTCAGTATTGAATAGTATCAGTAACATTCACCTGAACAGACAGACAGGACCTTTGCTGAATGTTTCATCCAGAAGATGGCACCCCCGACAATGCTTTCCCCTAGTGCTTTACTGGAGTGTAAGGCTGGTCTCTTAAGCTCAAGTCCTAATGTGGGCCTGAATCCACAACCTTTTCATCCAAGATGAGATAGCGACAAGGCTGAATCTAGACTGTATCTGTCAGGCTGTTAAAGATTTGACAGTAGAGTTATTGTGTGTGCAGTATAATGCAGGAGCCAGGTGTTTGTTGAACTGCTTATATAGCTGTTTATATAGCTGCTGGCTTGCTTTTGTCCCTTGTTTTATTTCTCTTATGTTGCGATGTACTTCCTTTCAGGTTTCCTCAGGAGTTAAATGTAGGAAAGATAAGTGCCGAAGTAATGTGGAACCTCTTTGCACAGGACATGAAATATGCGATGGAAGGTAGGTGTAAAACTGGAACTTTTTACCCATTTGAATATGGAATAAATGTTGCTTTTTTGCATTGTAAAAGTAGGAACTGGTGAGTGATTTTGTCAGTGCAGTACCTGCTCATTGAGTTCCCCAGGCTAAAGTGTACAATGACAATGATACTTTGAAAGATTGATGAAATATGACGAACTGTTGTATTGTGGTTGGGGGCTAATTTGTATTATGTTGTGTTAATTATGCCTTCTAGTTTATGAGATTCGTGGCCTGCAAATTGTGAATCCAAGGCCCGCAAGTAAAACCCTTGGTTGTTTCTCTCCCGTCATTTTATGGACTTTAGTTGGAGATTTGTGAGCCCGAAGTTTTGCATACCAGAGCTTGCAATTCATGATGGATTGCAAGTTCTGGTTTGCAAATATGGCAAATTAATTGAGTTTTATCTGCCTCCCCTTCCCTCCACCCCACACATATCTGCTAAAACTGAGTTTTGATTTTATTAAATGAAGAACTAGTAATTGGTGACATCCGCAGACATGGGGTACACTTCCACATGTATGCGAACGACACCCAACTCTATTTTTCCCCCAGTCCCTTGATGTTCTGTTAGCCTGCCTGTCAGACCTCAGGAGCTGGATAAGTGCAAACTTCCTTCAGCTAAATATTGACAAGACGGAAGCCATACTCTTTGGCTCTCGTCAACGTCTAAAATCGCATGGTTCTCATCTCCTCCACCTACCCGACCTCCCCCTAAAACTCTCCGAACCCGTACGCAATCTAGGTGTCAGGTTCAACCCCCAATTATCCTTCTTCCCGCACATCCGGTCCCTCACCAGCACCGCATCCTTCCACCTCCGACGCTTTGCCCATCTCCGCCAATAACTCACTCCAAAAGCCGCCAAAATTCTGGTCAATGCCTTTGTCAATTCTCGGCTGGACTATTAAAATGCCCTCCTCACCGGTCTCCCCTCAACTACCATTCATAAAATCCAGGTCATCCAGAACTCTTCCACCGTATTCTTACCCGCACCAAATTCCACTTCCCGATCACCCCAGTCCTTGCCGGAATGCACTGGCTGTTTGTCCCAGAGAGGATCGATTTCAAGATTCTCACTCTTGTCTTCAAATCCCTCCACTCCTCTGCACCCCCTACCTCTCTGAACTCCTCTCCTCACAACAGTGCCCGTTGCCTTCGCTCCACCAGGTCTGGCCTCCTCCTTGTCCCCCGAATCCTCCACTCCACCATTGGCGGCCGTGCCTTCAGCCACTACGCCCCGAGGCTCTGGAACTCCCTTCCTCACTCCCTTCACCTCACCCCCTCTCTTCCGATTTTCAGGTCTCGGCTGAAGATCTTTCTTTTCGACCGCGCCTTTGGTCACCTTCTTCCCCCTCCCCCTGGCTTGGCTCCGTTATTGTGAAGCGCTCTGAGACGCCGTCTGGCATGAAGTGCACTATATAAATGCGAGTTGTTGTTGGTGGTGGTGATTGCTGTTGCATAGAAGAGAAGAATTAATAGTTATCAAATTTCTCTGGACCATAAAGCAAAAAGGTATATTTCTAGGTTATTTCCCATTTAGTCTTTCTCTATCTTTCTCTCTGCCCACCCACACTCTAGACTAACAGATCGCTGTCTGCATGATAGCTCCTTAAAATCATTTGTAAATTTCTTCGGTCCGCACAGAAAATGTACTTAAATAACACAGGAAAATATCTCTTCCTGGTTCCTCTCCTTGAGATAATTGAAACAAAAGCTGATTTGCAGGAACGCCGATCGATAATGTCATTCAAGCCCTGGATTTTCTTTTGTATTTTGAGAACCCAGTGCTCCAGCTTGTAACGTCTCGGTTGCGATTTAAATGGAATTACAGAGACTATATAATACCAAAAATAGGCCATTCAGCAAACATAGGCTAAATCTGTGTCTATATTCCACAGGAATCTTCTCCCTTATGTATGCATTGAGTTTCCTCTTAAATAGATTAATGCATTCTCCTTCAACCACAGTTTCTCTCAGTGAGTTCTATATTCTCACCATTCTTTGTGTAAAGAAGTTCCTCCTAAACTCTTTTAGGTCTTCTACTGGCTATCTTATATTTAATCCCCCTTGTTATGGACACACCAACAAGTGGAAACAGCATATTTATGTCCACTTTATTAAACTTTTCATAATTTTCAAAGCCCCTTAAAATGCCTTGTCTCCGGAAAAAGAATTTCAGTTTAGAAATCTTTTGGTTCGTTGAGTTCAATCATGATTCTGACAGTTGTAAAGAATTTTAATTGTATTTGATAGGCGATTATTCTGCAAATGTCAAAAGATGTTATCCTGTACGAAAGCCACCTGTTTTCATTGCAGTCTGTCATATTTGAATTAAGTTCCATTTAATATTAACACTTTAACGATTTTTTAAAATTATCACTTTGCAATTGAGCATGGTTTGATTTGGGGGATAAAAAATTGCATTATATTGGGTTATATTGCTTCACTGAATATTAATAATTCTTGCTTTTATAAAGCGTCTTATCACGTCACTGAGAAATCTCAACTCACTTCACAGGATGTACTGTAAAGTGGATTGACTGTGTATTTGTAACAAATATTGAAACCTGCAAGAATAAAACTGACAATTTGTTTTGTTTGGACAGCATTTCTGGACATGATATTGCTTAAGAATACAGGAGCGCACAAGTTTGTAAAAGATCATTACCATTTGCTGTTTCTTTCTCTCCACAAAGTCTCCACCTCAGTATAGATCTATCTTATTCCCTTTTGTAATTGGTAGTACAATCTGTCTCAACTATCTCTTGGGAACTGACGTATCCACTGGATGAAGTAGTTAAATCTAAATTGTTGATTCATCTGGCTTCTTCTGGGATTGAGGCCATTACTCCATTGATGAGACAAACCGTCTCCAATTTGTCTCCACCAACAGTTTCTCTTCCAGCCCCGCACAGTCTTGTGCAGGTTTCCTCAGAGCTCTGTCCTCGGTCCCCTCCTCTTCAACCTCTACATGCTCCCCCTTGGTGACATAATCTGCAGACATGGGGTCAATTTCCACATGTATGCGGATGACACCCAATTCTATCTCTCTGCCTCCATCCTCAACTCCAGGCATTCCACACCTCAGGCACCTTTTTTTAAAAAAAATATATATTTATAAATGTATTTAGTACAATAGAAATCCAAAACAAACACAACATCTTCTGTTACAATTTTTCCCTTCCTCCCGATACAACATTCAGTTGTTTACAGTATACTCCTTCACCGCACATAGGTTGAGCACACGTTTTTTGGGACGCTCCCTTCAAAACAGTCAGGAGTCACCCCTGTGTACACCACATTCATGTGCGTGCCTGCACACACCCTGATAAGGTGCACTTGCCACTTGCGGAAGGTGCCCCGATGTGCACCATAACCGCACATGTTTCGGGACGCTCTTTGGTTACATCTCAAGCGTCCTTCTGTTTCCTTACTTCAGTCAGTTTTGGGTGTGCTCGTGGGCTACCTGGTGGGTGCGCTCTGAGTGGTTTGTGACGGAGCAGCTCCGGCCGGGGTCAGGCCCCATCTGCATATCCGTGCCACGACCCGCTCTGCCTTCCCCCACCTCTGCAACATTGCCCGACTCCACCACTGCCTCACCCCTCAGGCCGCCAAAACCCTTGTGCAAGCATTCGTCATCTCTAGGCTCGAATACGGAAACTCTCTCTTTGTTGGCCTTCTCGACTCTTCCCTCCACAAGCTGCAGATCATCCAGAACTCTGCAGCTCATGTCCTCTCCCGCACCAGGCTCCGTGATCCCATCATCCCCACCTTCGCCCGGCTCCACTGCTCCCCATCCCTCAGAGGATAGAACTCAAAATCCTCGTCTTCACTTTCAAGGACCTCCACGGCCTTGCCCCCTCCTACATCTCTGACCTGCTGGACCCCCCCCCCCCCCATCAACCTGTCCACTCCCTCCACTCAGCAGGCTCCAGCATGCTCCAGGTCTCCCACCCAACCTGCTCTACCATCGGCAGCCGGACTTTCAGCCTCTCTGCCCCACCCTTTGGAACTCCATCCGAAGTCACTTTGCCTTGCTCCCTCCCTTGCCCCCTTCAAGGCACAACTCAAGACCCTCCTTTTCGACTGTTCCTTTAGCTGCCTTCCCTCCCTCATCCCAATCATGCCCCCCCCTCGCTCAGGTCCGGATCCCCGACTGTTCAGCACCAATTATCTGCTTTATTGATATTTTCTGTTCAATGCTATTTATTGTTACTTGTGCTTGCCTTTCTCACCTCATTTCCTTTATCTTTACATTTTACTATGTTTCATCTTTTGTTCCCTGCATTCGTGTCTGTTCATTCCTTAAGCCCCAGCTGTGTTTCGTATTCGCAAAGTGTTCTTCTACGGTGGTAAGATATACACTTTCCTCCACATTATCCTTTTTCATTGTAGCTCCTGCCTTCGAAGTAGATCTATGGAATGGATTTAGCTACTAAAATGCAAAAAAAATCTAGCAACCCAGAGTGCTATAGTCATAATCTCCTTTAATTAGAAAACTAGACATCATCTGTGACTTCCCTACTTAACTGGAGATCTTATACGTTCATAGCAATTACTAGTGTCTTGCAGCAGAGAGTATGTGTTCTAGTTCTAATTTACTGTGTTTTAATTCACTTCAAATAATTAAAAAATAATTCAGTTTACCTCAGTTATTGAAATGTGAAGTCCAGGTATATGGTTCCATCTATTTTCGATTGTGGCCATTGTGAGCAAGGTAACATTGTAGAGTATTTCTATTCCTGTGCACTGTTGTTTTTCATTCAGTCTAGTGTGATCTTGATTGTACAGTCCGATAGGGATATAAGACTTGTTATCCAAAAGTTGGCTTATCTTTGTATACCCATTTATTTATGTCAGTGTTCAGTTCAAGATCAGCTTTCTTGCTGAGCTGTGCTGCTCCCAGACAGTTCCTGGTGACCTCTGTCCAATTAGCGAAGGCTCAAACCTGCACTTGTCAAATTATCAAATGACCGAGTATTGACTATCCTCTTTTAGGGGAGGAAGTAAGAAGGGTCTCCAGGATCTGAGCTGTATAAATGCAAGTTGTTGTTGGTTGCAGGATTTTTCCCACTCAGCTCCTGTTTACCCAGCAAGCAATAGCCCTAATGGATAGGGTGGTCAGTGGGAAACATGCCATACAGTGTCTTAATGGCAAGTTAAGTGGTTTTAGCTGGTTAAATTCAAGTATTATACAAACACACAATTTTGGGCCAACAAGTCTTAGCTGTTGCCAACCTGCATCTAATACATTCCAGATTTAGTTAACTATGATGCTTCCCTCCAGGGAGAGAATGTACATTTCATTCCTGTCACAGGGAACTTGCCATGTGTGGTGGCATATAAGTGGAACTCAGTCTGGTTTATAAACTCTTAAGCATGGCGCTGGGTTTCTGCATGTATCAGTTATCCACCTGAGCAAAAAAAATCAGCTTCCTAATCTAAACAATTTTGGTTTAAAAGCAGACCGCTTCATTGGGTGCACAGTTTAAACTGCCTTTTTCTCAGTAAATTCTCAGAATTTTCTCAGGATTCACTGTGAAATGTAGTGATTGTGTGTTTTGTCGGTGCTGTTAGTTCCTGGTTAACAGTTGAAACCAAAAACTCTGACTATGCTTATCAAAGAATTCATCTTTGGATTTAATTATTGAGAATCCAGTGCACTGAATAATTACCAATAGCGAATAAGTTGGATTAGTTGACTGCTTGAGAAAGAGCTGCTGGTTTGTTTTCTTAATTGCCATCTTAAATGTTGCTTCATATTGAAATTTCGGGGAAAGATTAATCATTTAAAACAAAAGGGTCATGTGTCGGCACACTGAAACTTGTCTCGGCTTTATGATTCTAATTTCTAGGTAATGTCTCATTTAACGTCCACACTGTAATTGCCTAATTGCAAAGGAACCCGGGCTCATCTTGCATAGATATTAAGTTAAATTGAGACTGAGATTCTCACATGTTCAGTTCATACTTGTTAATCATTTAATCACCCATCCCTGGTGATATATTTAGCTCATCTAAATTTAGTATTGCTTGCTCAAGATAGTTATCCACCATCTACAGGTTTCAACATTTAAAAATAAATGATGTGCTATAATTCATCACACAATGGTAACTTGGAATTGCTAGCTTAATTTCCAGAGTAGAAAAAGAGCTGTAATTCATGAATCCAGCAGCTAATGAGTGATATATATTCAGCAATGCACTAAAATGAGCGAGAAGATAAATTTATTCCATAAATATTTGTACTGTTGATAGTATGCAAATATACTTAGCACCATTCATCACAAGATTTGTGACCAACTTGTGATTATCTTCTTTGGGGTAAGTAAATAGGGTCTCCAGGAGCTGAACTGGTTCACAAGATTAGATTAGTTTGGCGCATCTCATTTCATCCTTCCAGAATATCCACCCTTTTTCTGGTTCAATCTTATGATTTACTTGTAACAATGGAGACATTATTTATGCTCTCTTTCATCATTGGTCCAGGCTTCAAGGGATGAGAGGAAATGTGATAAAATTGAAGGGAAAAATTCTAGAGGAGGGGAATTTCTGTGGGAATGTGTGATGTGTAAATTAGAATTATACCTCCTCAAAATGTTTTTGATATTGGAGGTATAAAACTACTGAAAAATCTGTAGTCTGATTCAACATGCTGTTTGGCGAAGATATGTTTTCATAAAATGCAAAATTAAAATAAATTTAAAAAGGAGGCTGAATATGCAAGTAATATATTGGTAGGTGTATGTATTGCCACCTATAGACAATCTGTAGATACTTTTATATAAAATATATTTATTATGCTGACTATTAAACTGTTTTGCATAAATAGGACTTAACATATTGTAAGCACTGCTTTGCATTCTGGAAATTCAAATGGTCCATCCTAATGTGTGGTTTGATAACGATGGGCCAAATGGCTGCCTTTTGTGCTATAAAGTTTATTCTAATGATCATTTCTCCCGTAGCAGTATAAGAAATAACCAATTCAATATGTATTTGTATGACACTGGATATTTATGTGTGTTTAACGTGCAACTATTCTAGCCATAATAACCAAGGCTGTCCATTCAGTATTGCAAATACTGCATAATTAGGTTTGGGTACCATTACTGTTATAATGAGTACATATGAGTGAAAAGACTAGGTGGGTAATGCTACTACAATTATAGTTTAATTGTGGGAATTAAGACCCAAGCAGCAGATTCTTGACTGTGACATGTATAAAAGTTGGAACGTATCAAGGCAACGTGTCTGAAATATAATATTTCAGTAGATCTGAAATGTGTCACAGTTTCACTCTTTAAATTGATTTAATTCATACAACATGCTATATCCTGACTTTTGACCTACTGGGTCCATTATTTATCTCCTAAATAATCATGAAAGTAACAAGCTTAAATTAATCCATTTTATCCCTGTAAAGTATTAACTATTTTGCAGACTTGCATAAGGACCGTCTCTAATTCTGTTAAAGAAGGTTTCCGCAAGGAAGTGCCTCCGCACCTCAGACACTGACAGCATCAGCATCCATGGATGCACACTCCACCTCACCAAGCCAGTCAGGAACCTAAGCATCTTGTTCAATCCTCAACTGTCCTTTCTCCCCCACATCTGTACCATGACCCGCTCTGCCTTCCCCAACCTCCGCAACATTGCCCGACCCCACCACTGCCTCACTCCTCAGGCCCCTGAAGCCCTCATACATGACTTCATTATATCTAGGCTCGACTATGCCAACACCCTACTTGTCGGCCTTCCCAACGTTTCCCTCCACAAGCTGCAGATCATCCAGAACTCTGCAACTCATGTCCTCTCCTGCACCAGGGTCCGTGACCCCATTACTCCCACCCTCGCCCGGCTCCTTTGGCTCCCCATCCCTCAGAGGATCGAGTTCAAAATTCTCGTCCTCACCTGGCTTCCCATCACACAGAGAATAAAGTTCAAGATCCTGGTCTTCACCTTCAAGGCCGTCCATGGACTTGCCCCCTCCTACCTCTCCGACCTGCTAACCCCTTAGCAACCTGTCCGCTCCCTCCATTCAGCAGGCTCCGGCCTGCTCCATGTCCCCTGCCTAGCCCCCCCCCCCCCCCCCCACATCGACGATTGGGCCTACAGCCTCTCTGCCCCCACCCTTTGAAACTACATCCCACTTTCCCTTCGCCTTGCTCCCTCCCTTGCCTCTTTAAAGGCGCCTCAAGACCTTCCTCTTTGACCGTGCGTTCGGCCACCCTCTCTGCCCTCCACGCTCCCTAATCCCAATCCTTCCCCCCACCTCCCCAACCCCACTCGAGCCCTAATTCCTGACTATTCAGCGCCTTGGCATGTCCTCCTGATGTGAAAGGCACTTTTTAATTAAATTTTGTTATCTATTGTATTGTTTCCATTTAAATGTAGATTAACCAATTGCACCATGTTGATATTAAATGTACAATCCATCTTAATGTTCTCATAATCTGATGATTGTTTTAACTAATTTATAAATCTATAAATGCACTGCGGAGAATTAATATAATCTTGGTTGCTTTTCATGAAATGCTGTATTAATTTCTTGCTCGTATTTTAATCCTTCATTTTAATAATTCATTTAATGATTCTGTTCTAGTTTTCACAATGAATAGCATGATACAAAGAAGATGGGTATGAGGACAATATACATGTAATTACTGGTTAAAATGTGGCCTTTTTATGTCTTTGTCCTCAGAGCATGAGAAGCAAAGACTGTGTAAAAGTGCGGACTACATGAATTTGCACTTCAAAGTGAAATGGCTTTATAATGAATATGTCCAAGATCTTCCAGCTATCAAAGGCACTGTGCCTGAATATCCATCGTAAGTGTTCTTAAGACTAATAATGACACCTAGAAGAAACGCATTAAGGAGTCCATTTAATAGCCTCCTATAATAGAAGTGTGCATCTGTGGAGCAGAGAAAAAAACACATGGATAATGTATGACAGCAACAAAAGATTAAGTTCCATTATACTCTTCATTACGGGAAAAAAAATCAAATTATTTTCCACTTGACTATATGTTAAAGCATATACTGTATATAAACTGCAGAAAAAAAGTGCAGTGCTTATAAGGACACATTTGGAGTTGAGGTGCAGATCAGCCATGGTCTAATAGAATCGAGGAACAGGTTTGAGGGGCTGAATGGCCTATTCCTGTTTCCATATTCCTACAAGGTTTGATAATAGGTGAAAACATTGTTTAAAAAAAATCCTGAAATTATAACCCATTTATTAAATTATCTCTTTTCCATGCTGCGTGAATTGTAGCTGAATTTAGGTTTTCTTTGAAGGAAAGAAGAGTAAAATGAGATAAATAGAAGGATACATTATCTGGTGTGTTTTAATGCCAGGCAGTTTTAATGATTGACAATATTAGGATTTAGTATGAAAATCTATAATTTGTTAATGAGCTTCAGCAATAATATATGCCTGCAATATCGTGTAAGCACACCACATTATTTTCATCATTATTCTGGGCAGAGAGAGCCATGCAGACTACATCTCCAACAGTGTAACATTTTTGTTGGTGTTCATTGTGTTTTTGCTCAATTTATTTGGTTGCCAGGTAGTAATATCAACTCAGCTTGATATGATCTGCTGTTTCCTTGCATATTAATGCTGACAGTATCTCCTTTGATATAGATGGTTTGAACAGTTTGTAATGCAGTGGTTGGATGAAAATGAGGAGGTTTCACTGGAGTTCTTACATGGAGCTCTTGAAAGAGATAAAAAGGATGGGGTATGTATTCAACAGATTAGACTTGTTCACTATTCTTTATTTGAGGCAAAATTATGTTAAACAAAAAGAGAATTTGGCATAGAAATTCTGATGTGAATTCAACCTCAAAGACTTCTTGTTGGAAACCTTTGATGTGTCTTGAACATACAATCTCAATGCTTTACGCAGTATCAAAGAATAAGATGCTGAGCCCTGTGTTATGTACATGGTAATTCTTAGCCTGGGAATCCAAGTACCTTTGTTTCCTTTCTGTAATGCTGCACACCTCAAGCCATCCTCATAACTGGCCTTGATGAAAGATCGCTCTTTTTCCTGCTGGGAGCCAATGCAGTGTACTATTCCAAAGGGAAGAAGGAGAAAGCACGGTGCTGCTTCAGCAAAAGTGTTTCCATGAAGCATATTGTAAAAAAGATGGAAATTCAGTTTGTTTTCTAATTTAATTGGGCGCCAATTCTAGAAAACTAAGTAACCTGATACGTCACAAGAAGGTGATTTGCCTTTGACTTAACTATGCTAAAAGAACATCACAAGTCACCAGAACAATAAATCTAAATTCATGTTGGGCCACAAAACTGAACTTAAGTGATTGTAAAACAATACAATTCCTATTACTTTTTTTAAAAAATAATAACTTTGGGACTGGGAGGTGGATCACAATGATGGTTTCCTTTCCTGTAAATTTCTGTGTTCTGGTAAGAGTAATCAATTTGTGCAGCTAGTAAAACAATAATTTTCATCAGGCACTTGGCTTTTTGTTGTTGAAGTGTATGTTTTCCAGTGTTGAGCTGTTTTGATTGACTCACTGTTGTACCCACAGTTTCAGCAAACCTCGGAGCATGCTCTGTTCTCCTGCTCGGTGGTGGATGTATTCACACAATTAAATCAGAGCTTCGAGATCATCAAGAAACTCGAATGTCCTGATCCAGTTATTGTTGCTCATTACATGAGAAGGTTTGCTAAGGTAGGCACTCCTTCCCAAGCGTTTCACAAGCTGAGGCATCAGTTTTTAGCTTCAACGTTATACCAGCTACAAATTGTCAGTATTTTACAGCTCTTGTAAGGTAGGGCAGATGGAAATTAATGCAAATTGAGACAAAATGTCAAGTAGTTTGGGATCAGCTAACTCAGCATCAACCGTGTGACCTTCTAGTTCATATAGAACAAGTCACAAAACGATTGCTGTTGACTGTTTAGTCATTTTTGTGAATGTCCTGGCAGTAAATTAAGAGCCACATACATTAGTGGAAGCTTGAACAAGGGCAGAAAAAATCAGAGTAAATAAGTTAAAATTGTTTTTGGGAAGGTTTTTTTTCAATTGTATTTTCCGTCCTTTTTGTTTCAAAGACTGTTTATGCTCTCTCAGACTGTGGATTTTCAGTCTGAGAAAGATTTGGCTGAAGAATTCCTCTCCAGACCTCCATAATACCTCGACTTCAAGATCCTCACGCTTGCCTTCAAATCCCTCCACTCCTCTACACCCACCTACCTCTCTGACCACCTCTCTCCTCACAACAGTGTCCGTTGCCTTCGCTCCACCGGGTCTGCCCTCCTCCTTGTTCCCCGAATCCTCCGCTCCACCATCAGCGGCCATGCCTTCAGCCACTATGCTCCGAGGCTCTGGAACTCCCTTCCTCACTCCCTTCACCTCGCCCCCTTTCTTCCTATTTTCAGGTCTTGGCTGAAGACCTTTCTTTTCGACCGCGCCTTTGGTCACCTTCCTCCTCATCCCCCTGACTCCGCCCTGGGATCCGTTACTGTGAAGCGTTCTGAGAGGGCGCTATATAAATCCAAGTTGCTGTTGTAATACATTTCTATTAGCATGATTCCACTTGCCACTATTTAAGTTTGACAGCGTGCACTTAAAATATTAAATGTGATTATTATTATTAAAATTGAAAAATACCATTATAAACACTTGTGTTAATCACTACACTCAACAACGAGTGGATTTCAATCCCTGTATCCATTTGTTATCAAGTCCCAACAGAGCTGTGCTTGAGTTGACCATTGGTTTGATATTCTGTTCCTGCAGAGAAGCAGCTATGTCTGCAAGCACAGCCTTACTATGGTGGGATTGAGATCAGAAACTCAACATAGCTCAAGACCTAGGTTCATCAGCTCTACACTGCCTCAATGTGTCATGAGCCTTTCAATACACAATCATGTTTCAGTTCAAGATTATGTGGTGTTTAAGTTGGGTATCCAGAGGTAATTAGATACATTCATTTGATCATCTCACATGACCCAGAATAATTGGAATCTATTTTGAAAAGTAATTAAATTTTCCCAGCCCAATTTCAGGCCCAGAGTGGCATGTTTCATATAACACTCTATTCACAATCATTTCCTTTATAATCATGTGATTGCAGTACGCTAAAACAGATTTCTTAAAACATGGTTTAGATTGGTAACAGAACAATAGAAGCATGTTATATTGATGATGCATTGTGAATTTTGTCGCATTTGCCTGCATAACATACACTATTAAATCAGATTATTTTTTAAATTAAAAACACATTCCAAATCATCATCCCTTCGATTTGAATGATTAGTTAATGTTCCTCTGTCTTGTCCCTTAAACTCTGGAACTCTATCTCGCAATCCCTTTGCCTCACCCCCTCTCTTGCCTCCTTCAAGATCCGTCTAAGCGCTCTGAGACACAGTCCGACGTGGAGGGCACTATATAAATCCAAGTTGTTGTTGTTATCTAAAGTCCTTCTTCGACAGTGCCTTTGGCCACCCTCCCACCCCCACTCTGCTCTCCACCATTTCTGACCCTAAATCCCAGCTTGTGTCCCAAATCCCTGAGTGTCCAGCATCCTGGGATGTCTTTCCGATGTGAAGGGCGCTATACAAGTGTAATTTGTTGTTGTTGTAATGCAGGTGGCCATAAAGGGACCATCTCCACCATTATTTCAAAGAACTTTTTGCTAGTTTATATTCCTTCCACACCCAGATTGACCTGTAATGTAAATGAATTGGCTGCTCACCTAGTGTACAATAGTTATAACACTCAATTCATTTCTAACTGAGCCCATGGTGAAATGTTTAGGAATGTACTTGTGACATGAAAAGCACTATATAAATGGTAAGTGCTTTTTATTGTACATTGCTCCCGACTGACCCATTGCAGAAATGATGGACAATTCATCAGATTCGCTTTTTCTCCTTTTGATAGACAATGGGCAAAGTGTTGCTGCAGTACGCTGACATTATCACCAAGAATTTTCAGTCCTACTGCTCCAAGGAGACGCTGGTAACTACTGTTTCTTCAATTAAATAATTCTTCACTACATTTCAGGTTTTTTCAATAGCATTTCACTTCAGAACTCACACAGTAAATGAGGTTAACATTGTCTTGTCCAAGTTTTATTGTATAGAATAGAAACAAGATTTCTAAGTATAACATTTTTCAGAATTTTATTTCAGTCTTCCAGTGATGATTCACGTGTCAATTTATGGTAATATTTAGAATGTTACAATAGATTAAAAAGTTATTAAATTGATGTTCATTTTTGAAGTGTCATATTATCCAGTTAAGTTTTGAAGTTTTTTTATTGCTATACAATACTGAGCAGAATAAATATTAACTGAGTACAGTTTGAGCCATTAAAGCACTAATTCATATGTTGCTACATAACACTGAATGTTGATTTGATCTTAAAAAAAATTGAACTTTTTGAGTTAACGATTCATATTTGTGCTTCATTTCCTCCAGCCTTGCATTCTGATGAACAATGTACAACAACTGAGAGTTCAGCTGGAGAAGATGTTTGAAGCCATGGGTGGGAAAGAGGTGAGATTCAATTCACTCATTTCTTCACTATGGAAACCAGTTTTTGATGATGCTGCAAAGTATTTGGGAACCTGTTGTAGCACGCTTCAATAGAGATCTGCCTCACTTAGAGTGTGGGTCTCCTGTAGATCTGTGCTAACTGGAAGCCCAGTATACCGAGCTTCTGATGCTGATGAGCATATTCAGTTATTAAAGAGTGTCTCATTTCCTGGGAGCACACAACATGTGGGAAGTGGCATCAGTGTGGACCAAGCAACTGGAAGTTTAACCCTTCTGGTTGTCATTTTTGCATGCTTTTGTACAACTGGAGTCCTTGAACGTAGTGGTTAGAGCACTCACCTCACAAGCGAGAGAACCCGGGTTCAATTCTCAGGCGCGTCTCAACAACGCGATAGGGCGCCATATTGAATACAAGGATTATTATTTTTATAACTTGTTTGGTTAGACAGTGGACCAAGACAACCACAATTTCCACCATGATTTTAAACCCCTGAGAAATAAGAGCACATTGTAACACAAACTTCAGAATACAGCACTTCACTTGCAAAATTAGCATTGCTGACGAGCCATGGGATCAGCAAAATCAATAGGATTAGCAGTGAGCTTTGATGATGGGAGAGTGTAGGTCCATTTTCACCATGAAGGCCTGAACATTTAAAAACAATTCCTACATGGAACTGCAAGTTGTGTTTATATAGCACCTTTCACGTAGGGAGCACTGCGTTTTCTTTTGGATGAGATGGTAAAAGACGTTGTGTTTTAAAGAATGCATTCATTCATTCATTGTGGAGTCCTGTAGCTCAGTGGTTAGAGCACTCGCTTTGCAAGTGAGAGACCTGAGTTCAATTCCAGGCAGAGGGCGAAACCTTGGGCAAGTTTCCTTACTCCACACGCCTAATAATAATTCCTCCAAAAAACCAAAAACAATAATTAAATTGGTCATTTCCAATCTACGACTGTTTGTGGGACATTGCTGTGCGCAATTGGCTGCCGCGTTCGCCCACAAATATACAGTCAATTCACTTTACAGTGTGTTCTGTGAAGCGCTTTGGGACGTCCTCCTGACGTGAAAAGCGCTATATCAAATGCAAGGATTATTATTATTATTATTATCAGCAAATTATTGAACAAATTCAATAATTACGTATTTCTTATTGAGAAATTGGTAAAGAAATAGTGCAAATGAGGCCTCAACTTTCCTTTCTCCCCCATATCCGTGCCATGACACCCTCTGCCTTCCCCCACCTACGCAACATTGCCCGACTCCGCCACTGCCTCACCCCTCAGGCCGCCAAAACCCTCATGCATGCATTCATCAACTCAAGGTTCGAATACGGAAACTCCCTCCTTGTCGGCCTCCCCGACTCTTCCCTCCACAAGCTACAGATCATCTAGAACTCTGCAGCTCATGTCCTCTCCCGCACCAGGCTCCGTGATCCCATCATCCCCACCTTCGCCCGGCTCCACTGCTCCCCATCCCTCAGAGGATAGAGCTCAAAATACTCGTCTTCACTTTCAAGGACCTCCACGGCCTCGCCTCCTCCTATATCTCTGACCTGCTGACCCCTCCCATCAACCTGTCCACTCCCTCCGCTCAGCAGGCTCCGGCATGCTCCAGGTCTCCCACCCTACCATCGGAGGCCGGACTTTCAGCCTCTCTGCCTCCACTCTTTGGACCCCCATCCCACAATCCCTTCGCCTTGCTCTCTCCCTTGCTCCCTTCAAGGCACAACTCAAGAACCTCCTTTTTGACCATGCCTTCAGCCACCTTCCTACCCTCTCTGCGCTCCCTCATCCCAACCCTGGTCCCCACGCTTGGGTCCTGATCCCTGATTGTTCAGCGCCTTAGGACATCCTCCCGATATGAAAGGTGCTTTACAAATGTAATTTTGTTGTTGTTTCCACTCAATTGAGAAAGCAGGATTTAAAAAAAAATGCTTTGGATATTTTAAAATCCGAGAGTAAGGAAAAATTCATATCATTTGTACCGTGGTACTGAGATCTGTCACTAACTTTATTGATGTGAAATTTCAGGAATTTAATTAACTTTTTAATGTCTGCAAACCCAGACCTGGATAAATTAGCAAAAACAAATAATAAAAAGGACAGAAAACAAATAAGCAAAAAAAAGGATGGGTAGCACAGTTTAACGGCAATTACAAAATTGGATTTATATATAGTCTTTCACATCAAGAGGGCGTTCCAAAATGCTGGACAGTTGAGAGTTTGCACCTGAGCTGTGGGTTGGATTATGGCAGGTAGGGGGCAAGGGGTTGGGAGTGGGAATATGACTGAAGGCACGGTCAAAGAGTAAGGTCTTGAGATGTATCATGAAGAAGACGAGGAAAGGGGCTAGACAAAGGGAATCCAGGATGGGGGCAGAAAGACTGAATGTCTGACCACCAATGGTGGGGGTGGTGGGGGACATGAAGCAGGCCAGTGCCCACCAAGCGGGGGAAGCGGGTGGATTGGTAAGGTTTTAGCAGGTCACAGAGGTAGGGCAAGATTGTAGAACATAAGAACATAAGAATTAGGAGCAGGAGCCATTTGGCCCCTCGAGCCTGCCCCGCCATTCAATAAGATCATGGCTGATCTATTCTAACTCCACCTACCCACCTTATCCCCATATTCCTTAATCCCTTTATCCACAAGAAAGAGGGATTTAAAAGTGAGGATGAGGATCTTGAATCCATTTCTGGGGGATGGGGAGCCATTTTTATTTTAATTTGCTTTGTATTTTGTGAGCTAGCTGGGATTCATATTACAGAAATAAAGCAATCTTGATGTTTGAATACCTTTTATTGCGACAATGAATTTTCAGCATTGATGTGAAAATCATAGACCTGCTAGCAGTCAGAGGCATAGATAACCCACACATAAAATACACTTCTGAGAAATGTTTCAGTAAAATAAAAGTGACGTTATTACCCTTGGAGCTGTGCTAAATAACTTTTTACAGCAAAATAAAGCTTGTCATCATTATTCTTAAGACTTGCAGCAAATTATTAAACTTCAAGCACTCTTGCTCCCAATAGCAATTGATGACCTACTTTACAGTGCCACTGATTTTTGCTGATTAAAGATTGCAGTTGTATGTCTGCAATTTTTACACCTTGGTGAAAATGAAGAAGCAATTGGAACAACAACCTACACATTCCATAATAGGTAGTCTTCTCAGTTGGATGATTAAGTAGATTCTTTTTACAGAGATTTGTTAATATGTGATAATAATTATCCTTGATTTTAGTATATCATGTCTCTTAAATACCTCAGAATGTTTCTGTAAAATGTAGTGACTGTGTATTTGTAGGCAAACATAGAAGCCAATTTGTGCATAGCGATATCCCGATGTGAAAGGCACTATACAAATCAAAACTGAACAATCAAACTGTACACTGGGTCTTTAACATCCACTTGAACAGGCAGACGGGAACCTCGTTTTTTAAGTTTTATCTGAAGGACAGCACTTCTGACAATGAGCGCTCTCCAGCATTGCATTAGAGTGTCCAACAACAACAAAATTACATTTAAAGAGCGCCTTTCAAGTCGGGAGGACATCCCAAAGCACTGAACAGTCAGGTGTCGGAGCCCAAGCATGGGCGAGGGGTGCCGTAGAGGTGAGGGAAGGCAGAGAGGTGGGAGGGAGACCAAAGGCACGGTCGAAGAGAAGGGTCTTGAGACCGGCCTTAAAGGAGGCAAGGGAGGAAGCGAGGCGAGGGGACCGGACCGTTGGATGGAGTTCCAGAGTGTGGGGGCAGAGAGGCTGAAAGCCCGGCCACCGATTTTAGGGCGGGTCAGGCGGGAGACATGGAGTAGGCTGGAGCCCGCTGAACGGAGAGAGCGGGCAGGTTAGTAGGGAGTCCACTTAGACTATGAGCTCAAAGTCCAGATGTGAGGTTTGTTAAAGACTCCCAATAAAAGCATTTGATGCTTTATCGGTAACTTCTTCATAAAAAGAAGTCTATAAGTATCTGTTTGAGAACAGAATTGGAGGTCGCAGGAATATGTTCAAACTGAAATGATAAGATACTTCATGAAATGTATTAACATCTGTGTTTCAAGGTTTGGGAGAGGAAGGACTATTAACAAATGTGGGAGGAGTTCAAAAGGATTTGATGGACCAAATGGTTTTCTTCTTCCAAGCTTACTTACATTCATATATGAATCTAAGTCATGTTATTTGAGGGGAACATTTTTTTCACTCATCATGGAAGAGCTTCTTCCCATCCCTGGTCCAGTGCTTATTTTCAATGCCTTTAATTTTAATATTCTTCAAATAGGTGTCTACATTTTGGTATCATTAGAAATGTATTGCTAGACAGTTATACTAACTTGGAGCTTTATCTTTTATTACAGCTGGATCCTGAGGCGAGTGGCACGTTAAAAGAGCTGCAAGTGAAATTGAACAATGTTCTGGATGAACTCAGTGATGTGTTTGGTGTTAGGTAAGCAATCTTTAACTCTTGACTATTTTTACCTGTCTGCCTATCTCAAAACGCATGTCCTCCTGACTTAAAGGCACAAATGAAATGTAAATTGCATTGCATTTCCACAGCGTTTAAATTTGTTTACATTTGTTTTTCTTGTGTTGCTTTCAAAATTAAAAACTGATTTAATTATTCACTTCAGCAACGGATAAAATGGAATAAAAATTCCCTTTTATATGTAAATCGAAACAAATTCAATATAAAATCAACAGAACTGCTTTTCCTCTATGTGTGTTATGATTGGTTTCACATTGACTGAGAACAGTATGCGTAAGTGGGATCAGAGCAGAGAGTGGTATTAAGAGATAGATTTCTAGTGGGAATCCAGCACGGCACAGACACAGTGGTCTGAACAGCTTCCTGTCCTAAAATGTAATTGATTATATGAACATTTTAAAGAATAATTAAAGAAATGAATAGTATTCTATTTATTTAGCCAAAGGTTTTTCTGAATCCCAATCGATAATTTATAAGGGAATTGCATGAGTGTTTGAAGAAAAACAAGAGCGCAAGGAAAGAGCAAGAAATTGTAATTCGAATGTTAGTTCCCATGGAGGAAGTTGCATAATTGTAGGATTGATTGGCTGAATGACCTCTTATGCATTAATTTTGATGATTTATTTCTGTAAAACACAGATTTGTTATTGTTTCTGATAATCTCTTGATAGTCGTGGTTTGTCCAAGCTTCCGAATAGCGGCTTTCAGGGACCTTTTGATTAACTTTTGACCATTCCAATCCTTTCATGGAACGGTGCTTATTTTGTTACTCTGTAGCTTCCAGCCTCGTCTTGATGAATGTGTGAAACAGATGGGAGATATCCTGAGCCAGGTCAAAGGCACTGGAAATGTACCGGCTACAGCTCGTAACAGTGTAGCTCAGGATGCTGACAATGTGCTTGGACCATTAATGGACTTCCTGGATGGCAAGTGAGTAGTGAGGAGTAAAGCAGGCCAGATATTTCATAGATATTTCCAACCAGTGACTATACCATTTTTTGATAATTATGTTCTGCTCTTTAGAAAAATACACTTTACAGGGAATCCTGTGAAGTACTTTCAAAGTATGTTCTTTGCTTCTTTGCAGTAAACACTGTAGCTCAGCAAGCAAGACACCTGGGTTCAATTCCAGGCAGGGTGAAACCTTGGGCAAGTTTCCTTACTCCACACGCCTAATAATAATCCCTCCAAAACAATAATAAATTGGTCATTTTCAATCCACGACTGTTTGTGGAACACTGCTGTGCGCAATTGGCTGCAGCGTTTCACCCACAAATATATGGTCAATTCACTTTTCAGCATATTCTGTGAAGCGCTTTGAGACGTCTAGAAGACGTGAAAAGCGCTATATCAAATGCAAGTATTATTATAATTTTCCTGATGTGAAAGGTGCTATAAAACAAATGCAGATATTGTTATTGTTTATGAATAATAACTTAACTTGGCAATTTTTGGAACTTTTTTTCAATGTACATTGGTTCCATCAAAGAGGAACTGTCACTTTCTGAAAAGAGAACAACCTTGAATCATTTTAACTGTGATTGATGTCTTTAACATAAAGAGGAGAATTGACAAAATAGATAATGAGATTCACTCTAGTGGAGGGATCCAGAACAAGGGGACGTATTCTTACAAATGGAGATCAAGTGATATGATGTGAGATTAGAAGATAATTCTTCATGTATACAGTTGTGAAAAATATGGAAAGTACAGACTTGCCCAAAGACTTTAGATGCAGAATTGATTGGAGCGTTTAAAAGGGAGATGGATAGATATATGGAAAGTAAGCATCTTAAGGGATATGGAGGAACGGTAGGGAAATTGGATTATTAATATTAATAATAATTGATACAGCACCTTATCACATTGTTGAGACGTTTCACAGGCGCTTCACAGAATATTCTGTAAAGTGGATTGACTGTATATGTTTTAAGTCATTGAATTTCTTTTAAAAATTGCTAAAGTTCAATAATAGTAATGCTCCTTTAAGAACTTTTTTACTATAGTTTTTGCTATTTCAATATTTTTATCTTTCCTTTAATTCTTTCTTTGTAAAGGTTTTCGATGTTAATGCAATTCAGTAGTTTTCACATTTGGCATATCAGTCTGCATCCCACTCTTTAGAACAGATGATATTTAATTTAGCTGCCGTGGATTCTCTTTCATTTAAATCATTACTTGAGGCAAGTGAATGTTCACAGGTAAAGCTTCCAAGTGAATAAAACTGAACTTTCTCCCTGGCCTTCGGAAGCCATGAAATGAAAACTCTGGAACATCATGTAGCTCTGATTTAATTTAAAATTCCACAGGTCCGGGGAAATGGTATTTTATCAGCTCTGTCTAGTTTTCCTGATATCCTTTGATCCTGTTTTTAACCAAATGTTAGGCTAAAATTATGGTCCAAGTTTCACCTCGTGCCTTTTGCAGCATTGGACGTGAATATAATTTTCTCATTATAATCACGCATCCCAAAGACTCCACAGGTAAAGCTGACCAGAATGTCAGCTCATTAGTGTGCAATTCCTTTTAAAGCAGTGGATCAATGTAGTCACATAATCTATACTGAATCAGTTCTTTCACCTCTGGGAGAGAGGAAGACAAGAGTACTTTCCTGCAGCACAAATGTGGGTCACATTACCTAACATCCAACAGAAGTGTTACGGCCATTGATTAGTTCTGACCCAGATCTTACATCACTCTTGAAGCAAAACGTTTTAGAGGTGGGAAGGTGAAGAAACCGAATAAAATTAAGACAAGTAATATTTTTAATCATATTGGTTTTCTGTAAATGTCTTTTACTGCAGTCTGCTTCATCCAGCAGATGGAAAATCAATTTCAACTGATTTACTGAATGTAACCTTTTTGCTTTGCAGTCTGACATTATTTGCTAAAGTCTGTGAAAAGACTGTGCTGAAGAGAGTTCTCAAGGAACTGTGGAAGATTGTAGTTAACACAATAGAAAAGACGATTGTGTTGCCTCCCCTAATTGATCAATCGGTGAGTAGCTTCAGTCGTTTTTCACAAAGGATTTTAATATTTGCAACTGAAAAACTGCATTGCTATCATGATGTTTAAATGTTTTCCAGTATCATCCTTGTTCCTAAACCTGATTAGTTGGTGCTGATAATCTGTGCACAGACAGGTAAACGTCAACCTAGAATAATGGAGTGCAGAAGCCATATACCATGGCTTAGGTCTATGGCTCATAAAATAGTGTCAGCTGTTAGACTACTAGTGAAGTCTGTTATCAAACCCCAAAAAGAAATTAGTGTTGAGCAGTTTAGATCAACACGTTGGTAGATTTTATGCTAGTTTTAATTTTTGTGAGAAAATAGTTCTTAATGTGTGTTTTAAAATTGAATTGAAATTTGGAACAGCTTAGAAAAACAATATCCTGCAGTCTCTTGAAGGTTTGAGCTAATAAAAGGAGTTTCTCATTCAATGACTGTGAACTCAAGGCTATTACATTTACGAACAAGCCAGAGTCATTCTCTAATTGTTCTACTGACTTGCAAACTGCTGCCATGTTTTAAGAGGAAGCAAAATGTTTATTCAAACTGGTGTTCAAATTCAGTGTTTGAATGTTTGGTTCTGTGGAGTGTAAGACACAATTCTAAATAATAGATATTTTAACCACATAAATAAATTGTACTCTTTACAACATAACTTAAACATTAAGTAAAGTAAAAGTAAAAAAAAATTCTAGAAAGATGCTTCTGTGTAATGCATTTTAGCGCCTCCTTGGAAATTACAGCAATCTAACATTTGACACTGATGACACCAATAGTAGAGAGAATGATGGGCATATTAGACTGAGTATATAATATAATAATAATAATCCTTGCATTTGATATAGCGATTTTCACATCTTCTAGATGTCTCAAAGCACTTCACAGAATATGCTGTAAAGTGAATTGACTGTATATTTGTTGGCGAAACGCAGCAGCCAATTGCGCACAGCAGTGTCCCACAAATGGTCGTGGATTGAAAATGACCAATTTATTATTGTTTTGTTTTGGAGGGATTATTATTAGGCTCTGTGTGGAGTAAGGAAACTTGCCCAAAGTTTCACTCTGCCTGGAATTGAATCCAGGTATCTCGCTTGCAAGGCAAGTGCTCTGACCACTGAGTTACAAGGCCGATTAAGAAAATAATGAATTGTTTCACACAGGTACAGGGCTGGGCTATATCGTGCAATTTCTTGAAACATGGTTCTTTAAACTCAAGAGTTAGATTCAATTCCAGCCCACTTACAGCTAAGCTTTCCTGCCTGCCAATAAGAACAGACTAGTAATTTAATTATTCCCAATCCAGCTATTTTTGGTTCAAGTCCACACCACCAAATTACTCTTCTATGGTAAATCTAACCACCAAATTGGTAGTTCCATTCAAAAGACTGACAAGCATAAGCAACCAGCATGCACTAAACTGGGAAGTAGATGATTATTTATAGTATAACTAGTAGTCTGTTTTGATGAACACCCTTAAGATGATATCTTTGGAAGCAGAATGAATATATTATGACTGGCATAAGCTCGGGACTTATTTTGGACAGTATATAAACTTTTTAACCTTCTGTGCAGTTCTTTCAATTGGTCTGATTTACCCCAGTGGTTACAAAAGTATACATTGCCATTGTGTAATCTAATTTGTTCTAGCAAGTGACAGTTTCAGTGTGGCTGTAATATCTGTTTGCTGGAATTGGTGATGAAGTTTATTGAGTAATTGTTCCCAGGATGACAATTCAAGAGAAAGAGTAGACAGGAATTCAATGTTTATGAGCTATTTTATAACTATTGAAATTTAGCCCTCTGGGTGTACTAAAATTTGTGACAGATTGGTAACACCACAGATAATTATACCATGAGTGAGTGCTATTGTTGGGGAAAAAATGCAACAGCAAAGGGTTTAAAGACTGTAATGCACATATTGGGTTTTAATGACAGCTGAAGTGGCTAAATAGATTTCTGTATTCAGAGCGTTCTATGGAAACTGCAACAAGTTGATAAGGCAACATGTTTTAGATGTATTTGAAAAGTATATATTCTGCAACATTTAAAGTGTATTTTTTTTAAAAAGGTACACTTCAGAGAATGCCGTTGTTGAGAAATGGAATGCCAGTCAGGGAACCTCTAATACTGCGTAAAAGTAGCGTGGAGCAGCTCCTTTGCTCAGAGGACACTTGGCTCAAGGCAGAGTTGAAAGGAGGAAAACAAAGGAAGTTCACAAATACCAGAGAAAAAAATGTTTCTGTTTCATTTGGGTTTTGGCAAGATGAACAAAATTTTGCTCATGAAAAACTTTGGCTATGATATTTTGGGATCATTGTGTACGAGGAGCAGTTGAGATAACCTATATTCAACCAGCCCATCTGAAAAGTTTGGGTGTCTGGAAATTGCAATTTCCCAATTTGTGAATAGTCAGTTCTTGGTTGTGAGAACCTTTGTCCTGTTTGCTATAGCATACCTGCAGTGCATGTAGTACAGTATAGATGGTGTGCTACCAATAACCTATTATAACTGTATTATATACAGGCACTAAAGTGGAGCCAGCAACCTGAATTCACTTTTTCTCCTCAGAAATACTGTTGCGTTCACTGCTCACTGAATACTGAATGAAGTGTTTTATTCCCATGATTAATAATCTAGGATTTTAATTTCATGTTTGTTTGTTCCATGAATAAGCCTGTAACTTTATTTTTCAAGAAGGAATTATATATTTCATTTGTTTTAGAATGTTCTAATTTTTTTTATAGATCTTGGATTTCAATTTTTTTCTGAAGCGTTTGTTATTATAGTAACTCGTATCTCTCTGGTTTGTCATAATGCATAACCAGAAAATGCTAGCTTTATATTCACTGATGGCTTTTTTTTTAATTGCTCTGCTCGCTGGTTTTTACAGATGATTGTAAGTATGATACTGTTTATGTCTCTATGTCTAGATTTGTCTGGTAGAGCTGTCCGCTGTCTTAGTTAATGGTGCAGATTCGAAGTGCAGCTAGCTCTATTAATCTGTCTGCGTCTGCAGTTCTGGTGTCTGAGGTGGTGCTTGTATTGTCAGCTTGTAGTTTAGATGTTCTGTCCTGTGGTTTGTGGTTCTTTCACAGAAGGCTCGATAGCGTATTAATCCCAGTAGCAGTAGATGTCCAACTGCATGGAACAAAAATACTCGTGTAAATCCTAAAGGTTCATGTTTAAGGGATTTATGTGCAGTTATAGACTCTTTTTCATTTGATATCTTCCGTGGTTTGAGGAATCTTGGGAACAAAGTTATGTTTGTTTAATAATAATAATAATCCTTGCATTTGATGTAGCGCTTTTCACGTCTTCTCGACGTCTCAAAAGCATGATAAGGAATCTGATTATCCTGCATCATAGTTACAGATGCATTAATTAGCTTTATAATTCCTCTTGGCACTTCTCGTGTATAAACACTGGTGTGATTGGATGAGCCAAATAACCTGTTTCTGAGCTGTACCTTCTATGAATCTTCATTTGAGAAAAATACAGTAAATCTGTAGGCAAACTACACTGAGTGGTGGTTGCTGCAAAATAAATCCTTAGAATGAATATTACATAAACTAATACCATAGTTGGGATAAATGAGCACTTGTCAGGTGTATATTGTGTTTGTGCCCCATTGCTTTTGTGTCTCTTGTTGCAATTAATAACATTTACAAAAATACTTGGCAAAGAAACTACTTTTTAATTTTACTATATATAAGAAAGACAATTATTAATACCATTGTATTCATAATTGTAAAACAACATACAATCTCAAAATATATGCTGTCACGACATGCCCCCTACAGCAGAAATTATGTTGGGAAAATTTGTATTTCAGTAATAAATTTGAGAATGTTATTTTTTATTATAGAATAAAAATTGGAACAGAATCATTCAAAACATTTGCAGAATCATTTGGAATAGATTATATGGCTGAGTATGTAACCTGTTTGAATTACATTCTTGATTGCTGCACTATTCTTTGGTCGTTTTTGTCTGATCAAAGGAGAAAGGCAGACTTTTGTCAGTGAGTTTTAGCTTCTATCTTCATATAGCTATACTGCAAGGAAAATTGAGCACTACCACCATCAATGTGGTCAACCAGCAATGCTAAATTGCTGTGGATTTCGTTAAGAGATTTTGGAGTCGTTCACTTGAGTAGTTCGTAAATCTGAAAAGTACCTTTAAAATATAGTGGTATTGAAAACAACACTTAAATGGCAAGTAAGTGCATCAACAGAGAAGGAGAGGGACAGATGTACATATTTTATTTCCCAAGGTGCTTTTCCTGCCATGGTGCACCATTTACACTGCAGGAACTCTGGCTGTTTTTCTCTTTGACTCATTGATGCTGACAACAATTATCATGTTCCAAAGACTGCCAAGGTCTGAGAGGAGCAAACTCAGCACAGGAATCAACCCTGCAACTTTAATCTGTATGGTTTCATGGTGACTGATGTATCTTTTCCATAGACATAAGGAAACAATGAAATTGTTAAATACAGTATTTAAGTGGGATATTAGTTACTGGCATTGCAGGTTATGAACCTTATTATCCACAGCTGCTGCTTTTGCAATGGTCGCATGCTTTGGAAATTTGCTAGTTTGATAATGTCTTATTACATTCCTGTGGAGAATGGTTTTAAAATTACTACTACCTGCAAGTGGACTATCAACCAGAATATATTTACGCACTTCTTTTCCCTCTCTGAATGTTAAGGTCTCTGTCTCACTACCTCTTTTTGTGTGCATGTCTGCCTCCTCTACATGTGTGTGTGTGTGTCTGCACATGTGTGTCTCTTTCTCCCTTCCTCCCTTTCTCTCTCTGTTCACCTACAACAACAACAACAACACAACAAAATTACACTTGTTTAGGGCCTTTCACATCGGGAGGATGTCCCAAGGTGGTGGACAATCAGTGTTTGGAACCTGAATTGGGGTTTGGGATCAGAGAGGGTGGAGGGAAAGAGGGTGATCGAAGGCACAGTTGAA